TCCTCCCACATCTTCACACATTCCTCACAGCACTGTTATGTTCCAGGCAACTCTTTTTCTGACATAACAGCTTATTCCTCGAGGAGGTTCAGGCAGAGTTTGACATTAAAAAGATCAGCAGCGGGCAAGCAGTGTCCTGCATGTTTTGAAAAAGGGATTTTTCTTCCACGAACATGTAATCCAAACAAGGCTCAGTGAGCCCGCATGAAAATCAGCAGTGGCCGCAGTACCTTTAAAACCACACAGCGGAAAGTTTTGGTGCAGAATGGGAAACGTGAGCACAAAAAAATAACACAGACTGAGAGTTACAGTACTTTGCAGCCTGAGCTGTAACTGCTGCTCTGAGCCGTGGCAATTCCCACACGGCGAAAGTTTAAATATTGAAGTTCATTGCAGAACATGAGCATTGGTACCTGAGCCACATGGCTGCGAGCAGACCTATAGGGGAAGCCCCAGTACTGTAAAATGTTCTGCTTCTGAAGGTAAGAGCAACGTCAGCCAAGAATAAATCCCTCTGCACAGTCCTAGCTGACTATAACATAGGAACAGCAATATTTTAACCAGAAAAGAAGTCTCTGAAATGACAGCAGCCATACACTTGCGCTTAACGCAAAGTCAGATGATAACTTTGGCACAGCTGGAGGGGCGACCAAGAGAGAAGGAACACGTTGCAATGTGTGCAGTCCATGCAGAGCTGCAGCCTCTCCTGCTCTGGGTGCAACAGAAGGAGAATTAACGTGCAGCTCTGCTCAGCAGATGTGCTTCACAAGCTGCACAGGAACAGATCCCACAGGTAGTGGTACAAACATAATTCTAAGAACAAAGCCATGCTTTCAGAGCTGGGCATGCAGTGGGGAACCTGGTTTCCATACCACAAGAAAACAATGCATTGACTCCACTGCTTTTATTTTCTTGGTAGCTACCATCACTAGCAACAGCAGGTAGGCACATTAGCTCCAGTTTAACCATGTCTTGGTTTCAAAACTGTTTCAGGCGCTGTTGCTGTTTAAATGTTTACACAACGTAAATAAGAACCAACTTTCTTTTACTCTGTTCTTCCATTATCTATATCTGCATTCTGTTTATTAGCAATTCCTTTCTCCTTCTGGATCTGCAGTGTTGCAGCTGGAAGGGCAGGTAACACACAGAGAGCGCCAGCAGGACGTACTGCTCAGAGGAGGAACAGAAGCCCATGTTTCACGTGGGACTGGGCAGGAGCTGAAGGACTTTTAGCTGTTGCTGGTATGATCAGATTCCAAGATATTTGATCTTTCTTTAACTTCTTTGGTCTATCTGTGCATTGCAGAACACACTGCAGAGGGTTATTCTAAAAAACATCATTCTTTCTTATATAGAAATTTGTTTGAAAACAGCAATTGTTGTAACTCTCCAACATGTCTACTGCTGCTTGGAGCCAACACCAAGCACCCAAAGTGTCATCTCAAGTGAGTGGCTGCCAAAGAGAGGAAATTAATTACGTTTGATCATTATCTGCAGACCATAAAGCATTCTTTGCCCCAATTCACCTAGCAAGGAATTCACACAGCTGGGAGGGAGCACACTGCTCCCAGTCCCAAGCAGTTCGACAGCACTCCCGTCTTGCAGGCCCAACTTAATGCCATTTGCTGATGTTGCAACACTAAACCTGCATTGTGTATTCACAGAAGAAACAAGACTTTCATCCCCTGGGAAAGGAGCTTTCCAGCCTCCTCTTCTGATACAAATCTAACTGCAGTGTCTCTTCAGCCTTCCCTTATCCCAGGCGTTCACACTCTCCTCTTTCATTGTTTCTCAGAATAATTTTTCAGGCTTTTATCACTCACGTCTACCACAGTTCTTCCCACACTGTATTAATTTACTAGACATTAATTCAATTAAAAGATGAGAATGGGAAATGGAAGGATGTTCAGCATTCAGCATAACTCATTTCTGTTCATGTAATTCCACTCCTCTCACACGCCTCTCAGTTCCTTTATGGCCATCCCTTGCTCCAACACACACCATTACAGCACGGAGCTGCTTGAGTGGGCTGCTGCTATTTGCCTGCATAGCACCAAGGATTCTCAGAGAGATTAAAAAAAAATTATGTTGAAGTCATAGGCATTCTGCTCAGCTCAGTAATTACCTTTGCATCAAAACAGAACTTAGTTCAGGGGAAAAGCACTCACTGCTTCTCAGTTAGCACAAGGTGACATGCGTCCCCTCACCCCACTCCTCCCAGGACTCATCACACACCAACAAGGACTCAGCGCAACTTTGGAGAACATTATTTTACTTCAGGAGCAATTTTGCTGGCTGCCAAAGGGCAAAAATGTGCAGGCGTGCTCCTGGTGCAGCTGTGAGCCGACCTACCTGCCTCTGCACTGAGCTCCCAGCTGTAACCTAACGGAGCCAAGAGCTCACAGTGCTGAGCCTACGCACAGAGAACACCCACTCCTCCCTTTCCCTCTCTCCAAGCTGCCTTTGGAGCACACAGAAGTTAGTTTGTCTCAAGCTTTGCCAGCTCACACTACTTTATGTCAGTGGAAAAGGAAGCAGTTCAAATGCTGCAGTTTAGTCCTCCCAAACCTCTGCGAGCAGCAGTGTCTGTTCTGATGCAGTTTCACTGCAGTTTCACAAGAGCAGCTTCTTCAGCTCTCCCAACAAAGCTGAGAAAAGTTTGCTGTAACTGCTACGCTGTAAGCAACAAAAGTTTGTGCACGTGAGCATTATGCTTACTTGAAATAGACAGCATTACTGCCTAAAAAATTCCAAATCAGAGTTTCTTGGCAGATTAATTTACATTGCAGGGTACGTGTTTTGCTGGTTCTGCTCCCCATGCTAAAATTTCTGATTATTCCTGCTCTATTGTTTGCAATAAACAGTGAGAAAAAAACATGGAAACCAAAGTTACGGCTATTAGTGACACTTGTGCCAAAAAGCTGTCACAGCCATGAGCCTGTTTCCATAGAAAACCACAGGGAACACCAAAACACCCAATGCTGCCTAAGAGACTTCCAGTATTCATGGAAGCACGGGAAGCTTTTTACTTTTTTAAACAAAACTTCATAATTTCAGAGTGAGTCAACAGATCCTCTAGTTGAGTCCATCACTCAGTATATTTTTATAACCTTGGAAGCACTCTTATCCTATCAAAACAATAAATGGGCACAAACGGATCCAAAAGCCCTTCAGAAGAACCTAATGAGATAAAAAGTGTGTCAGCAGGAAGTCCCAGCATGAAAACTGCTCATCTGGAGGTGAAAAGCCCGTCTCATGCCTTTCAGACTTGACTTGGCTGGAAATCCCTCCCAGCATGGGGCAGACTGCAGGCTGTGTCACCTCCATGTGGAGGATATACTGAACGAGGGATGCTCTGAACTCACACAGCTCCCCAGCTGCCCAGCTCTGACTCTGCTCTCTGTGACTCAATTCTGATGACTGAGAACAGTGGAGGAAGAAATCCACTAACTTACGCTAAACTTCCCCTGGAAGAAAATTATGCTTCCTCCTTAAAGTGGAGGTCCATACAAAAGCATGACACGTTAAAGCAACCTTAATTTACAATGAAAACTTTCAGAAACACACAAAATCCTGCTATTTCTGCAGCTTCTTCCTCTTCTGACGGGGAAGAACAAGCAGTGTAAGCGCAGTCCCAGCAGCTGACTCGCAGATTTCCCCCCAGCCACCTGGGCATCCTGAGCTCCCACACTGAAGCCTTCCTTCCACGGCATTATCTGACTCCAGCCAAAAAGCCCCAGCAAATGGCAACCTTTAACCTCTCTTGGAAACGACTCCTGTAATTAACATCCACCACTGCTAGCAAATTGTGTCGTATTTTAAAGAATCCGCATAGCTTTGACTTTCAGTTACCAGGGCTCATTATACTTTTGGTAGAAAGACCACAAACGTTCAACTGCCAAACAACTCTGCCACAGGCACGGCTTTACACAAAGGGACTGAAAGCTCTTCTCTGGGGTGTTCCTGAGCACACCGAGCTCAGCAGATCTGCTGCAGGCCTCGTTTTCCAGAAACAGAACACTGCTGTGGCCTCCAGGATTTTCAACCCCCGCTGAAGGGCTGCTAGAACTGGAGCTCGTGCTCTAGGAGCCATATGGAGGAGCACACAATCACTCGAACTTGGTTCTCTTTTAGAAGGAAAAAAAAAAAACAACCAAACCAATCAATTCTTCCCATAACATCAAAGTTCACACTGTGTCACTGGCGCAGCTGAACCCTGCAAGCCACTGTCTGCCAGCTTCCTACTGCACGAACAGAGACACGGCCCTGCTCTGCAGTGAAAATGAACACACACGACGATCCTCCCCCGCTCTGCGCGCAGCTCCACTCACCTGGCGCCTACCCGGAAGCGGCAACGCCAGCCCCCCCCCCGCGTCCGATGCTCAAACCCTTCCCCGCAGCTGCCGCTCCCGGAACTCCCCGCTCCGGTCCCGCGCGCCGCCGGACCTCATTCCTGTGGACACCGCACGCTGCGCCGACAGGGGGCGCTACAATCCGCAGCAGCGCTGCGAGCCCCGAGGGGCGGGGCGGGAGGGATGTACCGTAGTGACCAGAACGCGGGGCTGCCGTCCGCCTACCGTATTTACTGTACTTAATGGGAACGACGGCGCGGCAGCGAGAGTGCATCTTTATGTAAACGTTTCAAAAAGCAGCGCTATGGGCTGTGCTACTCCTGCAGCTGCCCCATCAGGGGCTGCTCTCCGCGCTGATTTATTGGTGGCTTTTTGACCTTCCATTGGTCAGAGCCCGCATCCCCCTGCTCCTGTCGCGTTTATGACTTCTTATCTCAGCTTTTCCCCCAAAATGTCGCCCGCACAGTGCCTGAGTGCCCGCACAGCCCCACCCAGCAGGGCTCGCACCCGCAGGGCCGTGGCGTGGTCCCGCATCCCGCCCCCCTTCAGCCGCCCCGGGCAGGAGGGAGCCAGGCGCAGCACTTCCTCGTTGTCCGCCTCCGCCCGCCCCGCACACAGGTGAGGCCGTGCGGGAGCCGGCTGTGCGCGATGGCGTACAGGGAGCTGCTGAAGCGCTGGCACCGAGCCGTGCTGGCAGCGGACGACGGGGATTGGGACGCGGCCTTGGACGCGTTCTGCGGCATCGAGGAGCCGCCGGCCAGGATCTGCTTCAACGTGGGCTGCGTGCATCTGCGAGCCGGGCGGCTGCGGGACGCCCTGCGGGTGAGGGGGGCGCGGCAGGGGCTAGGGCTGCTCGGGCTGCTCTGCTCGACCCGGTGTGTGAGGGAAAAACGCCCCACGCGCTCCTCCACGACGCCTTTCTCGAACTGGTGAAATCTATCGGTCTTGATTCCTTATCAGAGAGAACCAGTGGGCTTAAAACAGGGAGCTCTGCGCGTCCCCTGGAGATGCTGTACGAGCTGAGGTTGCCGAGAGGAGCCGCTATCGCGGAACATCGCGTCTGGTGCCATGTGGGGTGGGCGTGCAAGTGCTGGGAAAAAGCCTCATCGCAGCTTCCAGCAGCCAGGCATCTGCACAGCTCGGTGTCAGCAGCCCGCCGAGGTGTATATGGTACTCTCGAGCAGCAGAAGGCAGAATTCAGGCTGTGCTGGAAGGGGCAGAGCTGTGTCTCATACCTGTGAGAGACGGTGCCTGAGAGCCTCTGAACAGCCCCAGGGAGCAGGGACACGGCTCGGCTGTTCTTCTGTGTAGACCAACAGTTGGTTGTTTTGTCCTCTTATAGAACAGCAGAGCAGAGCAAGGAGTGCTGGCTGAGCCACAGGAGGAGCCAGACACCCTGCCAAAGGGACACCGACACCTTGAGTCCTGCAGTGCGTTTTCCTCACTGCGGTGCTGGGCAACATGAGGAAGCCCAGAGGGCCAGGCTCGATTCACTGTCTTCATGCTGCCACGCTGCAGTAGTTGTGCGAAGAGGCCTCCCAGCATTCTCAGACAGATTCTCAGGAAGGCTGTTCTGTAGCAGAGTGGGAAACCACTTTGAACCGTTGGCCACAAGCTGTTACCGGCTTTGCTGATATTCAGCTGGAAACTGGAAGCAGAAATATTGAATTTAAGTGCAGTTTGTGAAGCCCTTCGGTTTCTCTCTTTATGCACAGATCACTGTAGGCAGATTCAAACAGCCTGCTGTTAGATCAAGCTCTGCTCCAGGCAACAGGGCTCGAAGGTTGCAAGACATCAGATGGCAGACAGGGCTCATTTGTTGCACTCAGTCTTTTTTTCCCAAGGAAGGGTAAAATCTTGAAGCTCAGCTCATGGAGAGGCAAAACCTGAGAGGACTTGGAGCCATTTCCTGCCCCTCAGCTGGGATCACAGCTCCACATTTCTTGGAGCAGACAAGCTGTTCACAAGCCTAGGGGTGCCTTCTGCACCTAGCTGGGCATATGCCCAGGCACTGATGGAGGAGTCCTCACTCATCCCCAAGATGTCTGTTTTTCTCCATAGGCATTTGATAAAACAGTTACAAAGGACAACTCCCTCGCTGTCGGCTACTTTCAGAGAGGGTTTGTTTGCCTGCAGTTGGAAATGTAAGTAATATTCTTTCCTGCTCATTCTTTTGTTTTCTGCTTTTAGTACAGCTTTATCCCTAAAACTTGATCCTCCACTAATTTTAAGCATTTTATATGGTCTGGTTTGGCCTTATAAACCGTGTTACAGGTCAGCAAGTATCATCTTCCATTTACAGAGGAGAACTGAGCAGATGCAAGCTGTGCAGCTTCAGAACCCCAGCAGTGGCTGATATGTACCATTATTGACCTGTACACGCAGGGAAAGAAGCCAAAGCCACTCCTGTATGCTGGGCTGATGGAGGGTTACGTTGCCATTCAGTTTGTCACAAGAAGTGAAAAACTTATAGTTGCACTGTCTCGTGTGTCTTCATATGTTACATGCAAGTCTGGCCTTCCCAAGCCCACAGTCTGCTCTGCTGTCCAACCCTCTGCTGACTGGTTGCTGTCAGCCTTATCTTGCTCACCGATTTAACAGTAGAATTGCTCCACAGTCATCGTGGGATTGTTCCCTGTTTCTGGGGTTAAACCTCGGTGACATCCTGCTCACAGAGGTGCGTGGAAGACTTCACAGGTCTCCTCTGACCTTCAGTTACTCTTTCCTGTTATTTTTCCCATTTTTTCCCGGTTAAGTTCTCAGAACTACTATCTTTACCTTTGGAAATGAGATGAGTGAGCAGTTACATGCTGTGTGCCACCACCAGCAGAGCCATGCTCATGGATGGTTGTGCCTTGGCCGGGGCTGCAGCTGTTCCCCTCTGCCCCTTGATGGGGTGACCATTGCACAGCCCTTCCTGAACCCTTCATTTCTCAGCCTGCGATCTCAGTGGGACCTGTTTTGATTTCCGTGGTGTAAATTCAGACTAACCCTCTGCTCTAGGAGTTTCTCCAAATTTCTACTAGTAGTTGCGGTTGGACCTGGAGGTCTTTTCCAACCTGAGCAATGCTAGGAGACTGAGAGGGGACCTGATCCAGGTCTATAAATATCTAAGGTGTGGGGGGCAGAATGGCGAGGCCGGACTCTTTTCAGTGGTGAGTGGAGACAGGACAAGGGGAAATGGCTGGAAACTGCAGCATAGGAAGTTCTGCACCAATGTGCGAAGGAACTTCTTTACAGTGAGGTGACGGAGCACTGGAACAGGCTGCCCAGGGAGGTGGTGGAGTCTCCTTCTCTGGAGATGTTCAAGACCTGCCTGGATGCCGACCTGTGTGACCTGCTGTAGGGAACCTGCTTTGGCAGGGGGGTTGGACTCGATGATCTCTGGAGGTCCCTTCCAACCCCTGCAATTCTGTGATTCTGTGATTCTGTGATTCTATGAACAGTGCTCTGTCTGTATATGCTCACCATTAGCAGGGGTTTCGTAACCCTTGCTGCTTCTCTGAGATGTTGCCAGGGCAGAACTGCCAGCAAAAAGCTGGGTAGGGAGCTGACAGCATTTGTAAAGCTTTGTTCTTTGCATTTTACATTAATTGCAGAAATGCAATTGTATCAAATTGTATCAAAGCCTGTCTTTTATCCCAAATAGTAAAGTGGTGCAGATAGTCCTAGAGGAGAGACTCGCCAGATTCATCTTGTAATAAGTACAAGGATAGGACAGAGAATTTTCTGTGGTCTCAAGATGACACACATCCCTGCTGCTGCTCTCCTCATGCAGGCTGTTAGGCAGAGTGCGTATTTTTGCTGGTTTACTCTTGAACTCTGTAATTAGAGTTTAGCTGTTTAGTCTCAGTTTCACCTGTCATTTCTGCATTGCAGGTATGAAGAAGCTCTCTCTGACTATCATCTGGCCTTCAGTCATCTAAGAAAAAATCCCTTCATTGATTACAAGCAGCTGGGGCTGAGGCACATTCTCTATGCATGGGAGGTAAGGGTACTTCTGACTCCGCTGTCTTTCCCCCCTGTTGAGTCGTTCATCAGGTTTTCAGCAGCAGGCATAAGTAACCCAAAAGCTTTTTAAGGCCCTATGTTAGGACAGTAGAAAAAATGCTTTCACTTCCATGATTCAGTTCCTTTAAAAGCACTCATAAAGCAATATCATCTCTGAAGAGTTTTAACAAGTGACTCTAAGATGTGAAATCGTTTGAAGCAGATTCCCATGAATTTTTTTTTTAAGCTTGCTTGTAGTAATACATACACAAATTTTATCAACTCTTCAGCTTTAAAAGTTGAAATAGATTGAATTATAGACAGATAGGAACAAAATTTGTATAGAATAAAGATCTTTTGAAAGTTTTGTTCACAAAAGCCATTTTTCCAACTGTAGCAACTGGTCTCAGTGTTGTCTCTGTGTCTAACCTCACTGGGCTGCAAGCAGCACATTGCTACTGCAACCCCCTGTGTGCAGCTTGTAGGCTGTCCCACAGAATCAGCCTGCTGCGTGCCATTAAAGAAAGTCTGAGTCAGAACTGGCTGTAAGCACCTTCATGTTTAGTTTGTAAAGGACTCATAAAAGCTGTGCATGCCTTACTGGGAAGGTTCATTTTGCATTCCCAAATGCATGTACACAGACCGAGAAGCAGATACAGGAACAAATATTTAAACCTTACTTCCGTGAGAGCAAGGAGTCATTGTGCAACGCAAATCAAGCGTGCCTTGGAACTTGTCATTCAGCCTTCTTTAATTTACATCACGTTGTACCTGGCAAGAAGGAGTTACCCTTGGCATCTGTGATGCTTCCCAAACCTTACTGTTTTTAACAGTTTCAGTGCCACGGTACTGCTGTATTTGAGCTCAAATGCACTTGGAAACAAAGGCTTCCTTTAAAATGCACGGGGCTACAGGAGTGCCCAGTCCACCTGGAGGAAGATGGCACTGGTTGTGTGATGAATATCCAGTCCCTCTCTTCATGTGCTCCAGGTGCTGCCAGGCTGTGTGCTCTCACTATTCTGACACTGGATTCAGGATCTCATCCTGATTCATTTCTATCTCACTGCTACAGCTACCTGCAGCTTGTTTTTTTGAATTGCACAAACAAACCCTCCTACAGAGCTGCGCCATCAGCTTTCCACATGAGAGGCCTCTCATGGGCTGCATCTGATACTCTCAAGAGAGAGATTTCGGTGTATGGTCAGGAAATCCAGGCATTTTTTGCCTCTGGTGGAGCTGATACTTCTGAGCTGAATTGAGGCTGCTGTCTTTCCAAGGAGGAGTATCTCTGCAGTTCCAGTAGATGATCATTCCACCTTGAAAGACTGATATTCAATTATGATGTAGGTTGCTTTTCCTTTATTCCTACCGCCTGCACTTCAGTTCCAAGTACTGCTTTTTGTCCAAATACCAGAAAGCAATTTGCAAACTGATACCTTACTATCTTACATGATGTGGTTATCTGAATGAGTCTGTTAGACCACGCTTCTGCCTTGTTGGACAGCAGCATTTCCATACTCTGATGCCCAATGGAAAGTGGAAAAGAACTCTCTTCCTCTCACTTAAGCATACAGACTGAGGCTTCCTGACGCCCAGTCTGTAGTACTCTCACACCACCTCTTCAAAGAGCGTATTTACATGCTGGGTAGCAAGCTACAGCTGCAACCTGCACCTTCAGAGCCCACGCAAAGGGCAGAAATTTCAGTTAGGTTATCCCAAAGTGAAAGAGAAGATTACAATTCTGTGCAGCAAAAAAGATTACCTAGTTTCATATAGAAAGATACCCATACAGTTTGCCTTACTAGCCTTTTGGACACAGGAAGAATAAGATGAAAACCTGTTTGGTAACACAGTCTTCATCTGTTCTTCCCCATGCCTGTCCGTGCTTTGAACAGAACTGGCAGTGCCAGCTGAAAGCACAGCTTTGATCTCTTTCCATTCTGATTATGAAGTTTTCTCAGCTGTGCTCCTCACGGTGCCTTTCCTGTGAGCAGTGGGGAGCAGGCTCTTTTCGTGGTGGTTCAGTGCCAGGTCTCTTGCCTGGCTGAGCCCAGTTGGTAGCACTGGGTGCCGTTCAGCTGCTGCCCTTGGAGCAGCAGGAGGACAGCTGTACTCCCTGCTTTCTGGCCTCAGGTGCTGTACAGCACTGCTGCCACACAGTGCCGGCTGCAGCAGTGGCAGGAGGCCAGAGAGACCCTAGAGAAGGCCATCGTGTGGAGACCTGAAGGAAGATCAGCAACGCTGGCCCTGGCTCTTGAGCGAGTGCAGGTAAGACTGGGGAAGTGCTTTGGGCTCAAGCTGAGGAACCCGAGAGAAGAATTGCAGTGTTTTATGTCTTTGGGTTTTCCTGTCTGCCCCAGCGGTTTGGTCACCTGATGACACTCCAAGCAATTGCTGTGTGATGCTCTACCGAGCTTCAGCTAACCTCTGTCACTTCCAGGAGCTTTATGGCATAGAAGCACCAGAGCTGGGAATTATGGCCTTACTTTCACGTTGAAGTCAGTACTTCCTAGACCCTGCTGTTCAGGAGCTCGGCCCTATTCATACTTGCACTGTGAAACAAGTTGCCTCATGGAGTATTTGAATGCAGATTTGGAGAGTCTCACTTTTCACAAAGCTGGCAGACTTCTTTGAATCCCTTTGGCTTTGGTGACAATTGGTAGCAGCTCAGACATTAATGACAATCACCTTTAGAGCTTAAATACAGTGCAAGCGTGTTTATGGAGATGATTCTACATAATAGTTTCCTGTTAAGACTCTTTTACCATCAGGAACGACTTACAGGTATCTGATTTACTCTGGCCTCAGGTGCTGTACAGCACTGCTGCCACGCAGTGCTGGCTGCAGCAGTGGCAGGAGGCCAGAGAGACCCTGGAGGGTTCATTATTTTGTTGCTTCCATACTTCCTTGTTTTGTTTGTTTCCTTTCTAAAGAGTTATCACTTTAGTAATCTAATCTTCCCATCTAGCATCATGTTTGTGCTTTACATTAGCATATGATTTACATTCACTATTTACCTGCTCCTCAGCTGCTGCACAGACAGACCAAACAAAATATCTGAAATCAACTAGAGACATTTAGAGACTTGTTTAACAGACTTTATTCCACTGCCCTCCCCTCCCACCCCTCCTATGCTGACAGTCAGCCTTTGACTCCATACTAGGCAGTGGCTGCTGGGCTTCTATTTTTCACGTGCTGGTTAAAACTTAGTGACCTTTATCAAGTTCACAGCTTTATTTTTTGCCCCGATGTCTTCCTGGAGCCGATCTCTCTCACACACAGAAGCTATATTTGCTTTTCACTGCTGCTGTGATTCATTTCATGTTAACTGATAGCTTTTCCTTTATCTTCTTCCCACGCCCAGAACCATCTATTTTTAGAGCCTATGCAGGTTCCCCTGGGGGAATTTTTCAGACCACGAAAGAAGGAAGTTGAACAGCTGGATTCAAAAGATTTCCTGGGGAAACCTAAGGTAACAGCCACGTGATGATTGAGATAAACAGCAAACGGATTAACACCCCACCTTCTGACATCTGCAGAGTGTCATTGCTGCCCACTCCACCCATCGCTGCACTGGTGGAGACCCAGTGGCAGGGCTCTCAGTCAGGGCATCTGGGACACACAAGCCAAAATCTGTTAGAAGTGACACCTTTTCTATCAAAAATGCACATTGCTGCTAAAATCCTTCCCAATCTTGGCCACTTTAAACTGGAAAAAAAAACACCAACCACAGCTGAGCAGGTGCTTATGAATCCCTGTGGCTGTCATTTTGCTGACAACAACATTTTCAAAGGAGCACATTCCTCCTATTTGTTACTGCATTCCCAATGGGACAAACATGCACTTTGCAGAAAAATGCTTTGCTATGTGCTTTAATGCAAACCAGCAGAGAATTCTTCCAATCCTTTCCATGACCAGCACAGTCAGCAGAAGTGCCACAGGCCAGATCGCTCCAGTATGAACAAAGGAAAGGGAAAATAATCCACTCATACTTTGAAGGGCTTTGTAAAGATGGAAAATACATGGACAAAAACTGAAGCTGCATTTTCCACTAAATGCATTGCTCTGCTTTAAGCCTGACCACTCAAGATGTCAGAAGGAAGTGGTCCGAGTGAAAGCCTCACAGGAAGTCTGAGCATCTCTTCATCCAGCCTAGATTAAGTCGTTATTTTCTCCTTGCACAGGTGATCTCATCCATCATTCCCAATGATGAGTACATTGGCTTTGAACCTCTCAGGCCACAGGTGAGCAGGACGTTGCTGTGAAAAATGGAATGGGGCAGTCATGGAGCTTCATGTAGGGCCTGAGATCCTAACACCATCAGTGTTAATGGATATTAATATGAAATATTAATGGAAAAGCAGCGCTGTTTCTGTCTCTGAAGACCAGATCCAGAGGGCTTTCAGAGCCAGCTGGAGTGCTTTGATGTTGACTGGGAAGGACTTGGCAGAATGAGTCTCCAACCCTTGGATGATGCACTTTTGTCTCTTTGCTGTGTCCGAAGAGCAGTGGAGATTTCACTGCACTCAATGCACGTTTGTAAATTTACTTTCTTAAGTCTGTCAGCACAGGCATAGCTGGTTTGCAGTTATGTGAGTGTCTTGGAGTCAATGGTTTGCTACTCTGCTTGCGATGGATAAAGAAGGAGAACGAGAAGAGGCAGGTTCATCCTGGCAAGGTGTGGAACAGCAGACTTCTCTCTGGATGTTGTGGTGTGACAAACAGGGATTACAGAAAGTACCATATGTGTAGCTCCCTCCTATTCATAGGGACAGTAAATAAGGTTGTAATGTTGCTGTGTAACATACTGTTATATGCTGTTGTCCTCCCACAGAAACAGGGCTTTTATGAACCCAGTGCTGATGCTGTGAGGTATGTGTTCAGTTCTACCCTGGTCTAACTCTTCTCTCACTGTTTCTGTTCAAAAAATCATGTTTTGTTTTCCCATGTCTCTGTCTGAGGACTCTTTGTGATTCACCCCCACCTGCCCCAAGGGTGGAATGAATGTTGAATACATTGTGTGGCTTGTGTGGCTGCAAGAAACACTGCACCTGGCAAGAGTGTGGCAGTTCAGTAGCAGCTCTTGTACAGAGATATTGGGACAGTTTGCAGGAACCGATTCAGTGATCTTGGGATATTGGCAAAGATCATATTCTGGCTGGGAAATGGGGGCAGAGAGAGGCTGTAGGATCTGCCCAGGTCAGTGGCAGAGGATGCTCACCAGTCCAGATCTAGTTCTCAGTACCAAATTCCCAAGTATTCACTAACTGGTTCAAAAAAACATAAAAATTGTTCTGGTGATAATGTAACAACAGAAATTTGAAGCTGAATTCAGTCATTGCTTTGATCTGGAAGATTTTATCGTTATTCTCATTCTTTCTCTCCAGAGACCGTGAATCAGGCTACTATCGGGTTTTGTCCCATTATTACCCTGAGGGTGTGGAGAAGTTGGCAGTGAAAGCCAGCAGCCTGGTCTTTGTGCTGGCAAGAGGAGCAGATGGCTGGGCTACAGCCATACATGATGGGCAGGTAAGAAAAAAAACAGATGGGATTTCCAGCAGAGACCACAGTCCTGTCTGCAGACAGGAGCTCAATGCAGCCCTCTGAGTGTGTCCTCTGGACCCACCTGTAGCACCGAAGAGCTGAGTTCAGGAGCTCATTTCTGCAGAGCAGTTGCTAACTGCAGACGTGATGTCTCTGACTCTTGGCTCTCCCCAGCTTCTCCTGTTCACCTCTGTAGCTCCACAGAAGTGTCCTTTTGGGCACTTGTGCTCTCCACTTTGGGGGATCCTATGGTGGAATCAGGTAGGATCGTAGACCTCACAAAGGGTTACAGTATGGAGCAGGATTTGTCAGCTGAGAGCTCTAAGAGAGCCAAAGAGAGAGCTTGGTCCTTAACTAGATAGAATTGGCAAGCGGGTGGAATACAGAGATACAACATGGAAAAGTCTTTTGATGACTTCTCATGTGTAATTAAGTTATTTGAAGGAGCCAACGCACAGTTATTTACCTGCTTTTAAATTAATAAAAAATTCTACACAGAACCACGAAAGATAGCTTGAGCTCGCTAAGCAAGAGAGACTGTGCTTTGAGGACTGATAACAGATTAGAAGAGGAATAAAAGGTGAACGTAAATTAATTGTTTGCTTGTTTTTAAGAAAGGGTGTCCTACCAGGATCTGTCCTTTAACAGATCCCTGAGTGGCACAGTGACAGCAGTACAGTGTGTTTCTTAAGGCAGTAATGTTTCATGGCAGTCAAACCATTCAACATGGCCTGAAGCACAGACCTGGAGCCGCAGAAGGATCTGAATGTGCTGGTTTAGTCAATGAAGTGTCAGATGAATATCAAAGAAAAGAGGAATTAAATGTTGCACACACTGGAAAAAAAAACAAAAAGTGTAATTATTCACAATGATCAGTTGGAATTAATAGCTCTGTAGGAGAGACTGTTGGAAGACAAAGAACACTGCTGGGCTGGTACCCCTCAGCATTGCTGCTTCTCTCCCTAAGCATGTGTTTGAGGAGCAGGGTGTTGGGCCTGGGGGGTATTTGGTCTGTCGCTTCACAGCCACTCGATTACTAAAACTGCTTTTGGCAGAAAACAATGCAAAAGGACTGCTGGATGTTTTTCAGCAATTTCTGGGAACGAACCTTTTTTTAATGCTGCCCGTGGCTGGACCTGCCATGGGCACATTTGTATTGCAATCAAGTGATGCTTTGTAAGGGCACAAGCAGTGTAACTGGGGTTAACAGAAGATGGAGCTGGGTGGGCTGGAGCTCCCACAGCAGCAGCTCCTGTCTCAATGATTCGCTCTTTGTCCCACAGAAGCTGCACATACCGACCTCTATCCTGGAGCCTGCCTCAAAGATGGATAAATGGGTGAGCTAACAGCCTCACAACCCAGGGGAAGAGGAAATGACTGAGAAATACATGTTCAGAACTTTTGTTTGTAAGACTATCACGGGATAGAATGGTAGCGTAAGGCAAGCACTGCAGTTGAGCTTAGACATGGTGAGCAAAGACTGAGTGCTCTTGAACAACAGAAGGGTTAAGAGCAGGAAAAATGCTGATTAGTTTCTGTACATCTGATCTCTGTATGGCAAAGTGTAGATGCATGCCCAGGCCTCGGTGTCGCACATCACGGGCTGATCTAGGTGTTGTTATCTCTTATTTACTGGGGCTGACAAGAGAAGCTGCCACAGCTCTCATGACCAACTGTCACGTTGTTGTCACAATAATCGTGAGGGCAGGCAGCATGTAATTGGCCAACCTGCTCCCTACAGCTATCAGACAGCACAGAAATGGGTGAGGAGTGCTCATATGTTCTGGTTCACCAGCACAGAGCAGGGGAATCTGCAATGGGACAGAAATTCCAGACAGACACAGCTTTTTGCCCGGAGGCCATGTGCTTAAGCCCTCAATCCTCGCCTTTGACTCAGGGAAATATTTCTTCATCTCCCATCTCCTCCATAGGCATTTCCACACGTGATCCCAGTCCTTCTCCAGTCTGAACCCAATGCTGCAATGTGTTATACAGGCTCTAGTTCCCCACAAGAGATTTTTGTTTTAATTCTGCTATGATTCTTTTCCTCCATATGAATCCCTGGCCATAACGCTCACTTGGGCATTTGCTTCATGAACTGGTCTCTCTGGGAAAATTTGTAATCTGTTGCAGCCTCTGACCTGAACACTGGCCTTGCCCACCCTCCAGTGTCTTCTGCTCACTCCTTTCTTACACTGTTCTGTTGCAGAAGATCAATGATGGGATTCCTCTCCCTCCTGCCCAGGTCCCTCCCAGCCGGCTCCACGTGAAGCAGACACCAGGTAGTCTTGTGGGCCCAGGACCTCTGTGGGTGTTTTGTGAAGCTGCTGTGCCCAAAGGGGCTTTAGGGTGCATGGGGAGGTTGCTGCCCTCTGAAGCAGTGGCTGCCTGTGTGCTGGTGGGTTGCAGAAGTGCTGTGTGTGGCCTCTGCTGACTGCAGGTGCTGTTTTTGTGTTCTCATTCTGCAGAATCTCTTGGGGAAGAAAATGTTTCTGCAAATGATTCCGGATCCCAAGTGGATTTTGAAGTAAGGTGTTTAACAAACTGAAGCTGCCACTCACTGCCCTAGGAAATGAAGGATATAAAAAGCGCAAGGGGTCAGATTATGGCCAGGTGCTTCAAAGTTCCTGAGCTGCCCCAAAATCACTGGGAAAAAAAAACCTCTTCCTTTGCCCATTTTTCATTTCCACAGAGAGCCCGTGGGGCCTTTCCTCCATCGCTCCTGATTTCATGACCCTACAGCTTTGTGAGGCAGCCCCGAAGTTGAGGTTTCCCAGGTCGGAACTCTTTTGCCATCCTCCCGGAGCCAAAAGCCCCAGGCACAACAGTGCCCAGTTTGCAGCCATTTTGCCTTTGAACTACCTGCTATCCCTGGTCCCCTCCTCCCGCGTAACATTTTCTGTCCTTGTCAGTCTGCTTATGATGATAATTCAAACATCCATAGCAGCTTTCTTCTGGGATAATGCCATCTAATGCAGCTCCATGTCGTTGCCAGCCGGTGTGTGGCGGAGCTGGAACTGATTTTGTGTCCACTTGGGGTCAGCACCTCTCTAGCAGTGCCAGGGGCAGATCAGCTCTTATCCCCTTTGTCTTCGCTGCCCACGTTTGCAGGGATTTGAGGGTCTTGTTTTGGAGCTGTACTTCTGACAGAAGGCAGCAGGACCTGGCTGCACCTCTCCAGATATGTGGAGGACTTGGGGCTCGGCTCATACAGGTTTACATTCAGAGGTTGCTTTTATCTGAGCCAGAAACAGGCTTCCTGGGTCATGGCAGGAGCATTTGGTCCTAGGCTTAGACCCCAGATTTTCCCTCTCTAAAACTCAAATCTTCATTTTGATCTTTCACTATCTCTGCGGCAGCACTGAAGCCAGATCCTGCGTCTGCCAGCTCTCGTGATAAGAGCTCCCTGAATAACCAGGCTGTCTGTGTTGCCACATCTCTCACAGGTCCCACTGACCCACAGAGACACTTCCTCCAGCTCAGACAGACCAGCTGTGCTGCGGGTGGTTTGCGAGTGCATGGTGGTGCTGAGGGCAGACGAGGTGCCCTCCGTGCCGGCGCTGCGGGCGCTGCTCCGGCAGCGTTTTGGCCAGCAGGCAGAGCGTGGGAGGCTGAGGTATGGCGTCCTCCAGCACTCACTGTGCACCCTGTCCTTGCAGAGTTTGGCAGCAGTGATTTCCCTGAGGACGCAGGCGTCTGACTGCGTCTGGTCTCTGGTCGATGGGGAACAGCGTGTGATCCATAGGCTCTGGAGACCTGGAGGATCTTTCCAAGGAAACTGTGTCATTGTCAAGAAAAGAGGGAACAGAAGGAAAAACTCTGTGCAAATGCAACTGCTGTGTATTGAATTTTCTTATGCATGGCCTTAAAGACACACTGGAATCAATGCAGAGCAATCTGGGAGTCCGGTGTTAGCTAGTCCTGGGGTGGGTATCCCTGACCGTGACATCCCTGGGGACTCACAGTTGGTGCAGACATAAGAGATTCAGACCTACCCCTCAAGTGTCTGAGGAGGCAAGACCCTCCCCAACAAATGTGTGCCCATTTGTGCCCATTGAGCATGCAAGGTGGCCCCTTGTCATTGCACAAGGTGACAAGCTTGGAGCTGGTTTACAAAGAGAGTTTTGCAGACTGAAGGTTGTAGAAGGCTAGATTTGCCTAAATGTCTTTAGATCATATGATTTGAGTCATGTTAATGAACCCTTACAGCTACAGGCATTTGGATGGCAAAGAACTAGGTGCAGTTTCAGGAGAGGAAGATCTAGGGAAGATGTGGCAGCAGCTGACAGATGGCAGGATCACACTCTACTGCCAGGTACGTGGGCTGTGACAAGCATCTCTGCTATGCTGGGCTCTAATCTTGTCTCTGCTTTTCCTTGCAACCTTCATGCTGATTTTCTGCTGTAGGACTTGGACTCCCACTCAGGCAGACCCATCCTCTACCGGATGCTGGCTCAGCACTCGTACCCTGCACAGGGACCAGGAGACCTGGAGTTCAGCAAGGGGGATGTGCTGGATATTCTCTCTGAAGGTAGCTCTCCAGTCCTATCTACAGGCTCTCTGAAAGAGTCTGATGTAAACGTGACAGAGGAGTGGATGACTTTTCCAGTGCTGTTTCAACTTTGTGACAGCAGGAGGTGCAGACCAGAGTTAACTTTGAGCCATGAAAGCTCACTAACCTTGCTCCCGTGAGCCAGAGCTTATCTTGATTCTTTTTGTTTTCTCAGTGAACAAGGACTGGCTTGAAGGGCACTGCAACGGCAAGACTGGCATCTTCCCTAAATGCTTTGCAACCCAGACCAGTTGTGCCTTCCCATAGGGAACAGGAGCCTTCTACCTGACCACATGAGGAGCCCGCTGCCATCGGTCCCATCTGCCAGGGGTAGGAGACACCAGAACCAGCTCATCTGGACACAGCTGGCCCAGACAGGAGCTCTGCTCAACCTGAACAGATGTCCTGCACTGACAGATCCCGTGAGGTCTGTTCCAGCATTCACTTGGCAGCATTTCCTGCAGCCTGTTCCCAGACCTGACATTTTTACCTCTGTGGTTCCACTGCCAAAGATGTTCCTGTATAGGGCAGAGAGAAAGGAGGGGACTGTGTTTGGCTACAGGAAATGTCCACGTGCCATGTGTCACATTGCAGGGTGGGAAAAGGTTCCTTTTGGGCAGGAGAGTTTACTCCCTCTCCATGATGGTTAGGACCATCATATATCATCTTCACACAGTGAATACTCTGTGGATCTGAAAGAGCCAAAGAGCTCTGATTCTTTCTCAGCCCAGATGCCTTTGGTTGTTTTCTCAAGCCCCTAAGCAGTCCTGCCCGGATTTTCCTGCTTCTTGCTGTGTGGACAGGGGTCCTGCAGCAAAGAGAGGCAGCTGTGGAGACACCCCTGCACACACCAGCCTGGGGCTCTGGCAGAGGCTTGGAGGGTCTGTGCAGAAGGCAGGCTGGGCACTGCAGTGCTGACCTGGTGGCTGGAGCTGGAAGGACTGAGAGGACTGTCTGATTCCTGCAGCTGAGCTGTGCTGGGCTCTGCTGATGTAGATAAAACACTCAAGTGCCTGGAGCTGGAGCCTGCTATGGATTTAGTGTCTGACAAAGCTGGAATATATAACTTGAACGTGAAATAAACACTGAGCAGATTTGGCAGCTCTTAAATCAAGTTCCAATTGTATTTTTTTTTGCTGAGATATGATTGTAAATAACTTACAGACAGCTGACAGTCTGTCCTTGGAAAGATATTCTACCACATACTACAGAAATCTTGCACATCTTATACAAGACAGGATACAGAAAATGCCAGTCCTCTCCCCAGAGCCTAGGTGGCCACCACTGCTCTCCAGCACCCATTGCCTTCCACAGCTGCAGCTGGGAGAGCCAACCCAGCAGGTGTGGAAGTGCTGAGGGATGGAAGCTCTGCTAGACTTGTTAGTGACCTTTGTATTTGAAAAACAAAAAGGGCTTTATTTCTAGCTTGAATTCTTATGGCCGCCACATCTCAGTTTGGCCTTTGTCAGCCAGATTGAAGAGGTTTCTGGCATCATTTCCTCGTTGAGGTTTGTAGGGAGCTCAAGATGCCTTTGATGTCTTTACAGATGTGGTTCAATAAGACTTCATGAGCAGTGGAGGTGGGGCTTAATGCCTTCTTCCCTCTCCTGCTTCCACCTTTTCTTGCACCACCCTCCCTGCCTGGTTTAGAAGGCAGGGTGCCCGTAGGCTTCTTGGAGCTACTTGGAGCTACTTGGATTTCCAGAAACACTGGAGGAGAATTGCCACCAGGCCTGTAACTATAGCCAGCACAATGAAGGAGATGGCTCCTGCCCACAGACTGGGCTGCTGCCCCTTGATGTGTTCCAGAGCCTCCGTGGGGATCATGTTGGTGAGGTTCAGCATGAAGCCCAGCGTCCAGCCAATATCTGTGTTTCCTGCCTGAGGTGACAGAACACAGGAGATCATCAGAAAGTGCCTCCCTGGGGCAGTGGTGGCTTTAGTGTGAGGGACGGTGGCAGACCTGGTCCCACCAGTGCCAGTTACACAGCAGCTTTGCTCTCCCCTTTCCCAAGGGCTTAAAGGGCAGCTGCTGTTGTGCAGATGTGCCTCTGTGACCTGTGTTTTCCTCCCCTTAAAATCCTTCAAATTTGATTTCATTCTGGTTCACGTAGCTCATGGGGCCACAATCGCTTCCCTGCTGTTTATGTGAATTCTGCACAGCATTAGTGATCAAAGTGGCTGAATCTTACTCTGCACTTCTCTCACCCCCTTAAAATTAGCTTATGTTTCCATCAGAATACATAAGAGCTGGGGTCAGTGGTTTGAGGGCAGGCAGGACTGAAGCTGTGCTGGGATCCCCAGACACGAGGCAAGGACACATTTCTGGTGCAGGAGATTCCAGGGATGGTGCTCCTGAATCACAGAATTGTAGGGATTGTAGAGAGCATCAAGTCCAGCCCCCCTGCAAAGCACTGTGTCCCTGGGCCAGGGCAAGGACGTGGCCACAGCTGTCTGCCTGTTCCCTCCGCCCCACGAGGCTTTTTTTTACCTTCTGGCTGAAGTGGATGTTGCTCCACGTGCGCTCATCAAACTTATAGCCATCGACCAGCAGTGTTAAGATGTAAAGTCCCACCATGCAGTATGTGTGTAGGTGCTCCTTATTGTCTGGGAAGGTCTCCACCAGCTTCAGAGTCATCGAGGGACACAATATAATGAGGAATGAAACCTTCCCTGGCCCAGAGAACAGCAGAGCACGTGCTTTCTGGGCAGGGATTTGGGAGAGGATAGGCAGAGGACTCCTTGGTGCCCTTTACAAGGCTCTCACCTTGGACCAGTTCTTGTTGCAGAAGTCCCAGACTGTGGCATTGACATGGCTTAGAGACTGCTGGCTGGTCAGGTTCAGGAAGGAGAAGGTGTAGTAGAACCCAGCAAAGGCCTGGAGAAGAAGGGGGGATGGTAAAAACTGCATCTCCCTCCTCACCCAAAGGAAGGCCTCTTCTCACAGCACCTCTGGGCTTGGGGTCAGCACTGCCATCCCTGCCTCAGACAAGTGGGGTATCAGATTAAGAGGGCTGGCTGAGCCTGTGGCAGAGCATCTCACCGCAACCACTTGGATCAGATCTTAGAGTAAAGCCTGACCCAACAGACCCTCTGCCAGGGGGCAGATTTCCATGTGATCTCTGTGGTTCTGCATCCACCTGATAGTCTACAACACTTGGAGGCCATGGACAAGCCTTTGGTTTCTGTTTGCGCTCAGGAGCCTGGCCAGCTCAGGCTTGTTCCTCATGGACAAAATCTTCCCATTTCCCTCAGGGGGAGCTGGGACATTGCTGAAGGCAGAATCCACCTTCCAGCTTAGGGGCAGAGGTTTGCAGATGGGGCCAGCTTTGAAGTCCCCTCTTTTGCTTCCCCTTCTCACAACCAATAGTAGGGAAGACTTCCACTCTCCATCCCCACACCCACACCAGCACCAACAGCCAAGGCTCCTTACAAAGAACTGTCCCCTCACAGGTGGCTGATAGACCCCGTCGAACCCACACGTCCTGTTGGCCCCACAGGTGAAGTTGAAGAGCTTCAGGATGGCGGTGCGGCACGCCGCCGGGTTCCCCGTCCCTGTTACTGTGAGGATCTGTGCAGGGCTGAGCGTGCTTGGAATGGGGACGCAGGGACTGTCGTAGAGCTCTGCTACGGTGATGTTCTCCTGGTATCCCTTGGGGTAGCAGGGGTGTGATATCTGCTGGGCGTACCGGCTGTCCTGTTGAGAGAGAAGCAGCCATTACCTCTTGTGCTTGATGTGGGATGCCAGTGATAACTTACCCCACAGCTCAGCCTGTGCTTACACCCTCCCTGAAAGCAGGATCTAGATCCCAGGAGGACTTGAGCAGAAGCAGAATCCAACCTTTGGATGCCTTTAACATGCCGATGCATTCTGTTAGTCCTGCCACTGCTGCTGAGCAGGACTGCGGTGGTGGTGCCACTGTGAAGCCTGTAAGGTACCTGTAAGGCTGGAATCTCGCTCCCATGGCCACTGCCTCTCTGCTGTGTGGAGAAGTTGTCATTTTTGGTACCTGGTTTGTCCCCACCACATCTTGCAGGTTCTAACCCAGAAAGGACTGAAGGTGCGTTCCATCTGCACGCTCCTCAACTATCTCCATCTCCCACGGCATTGGGCATCTCACCTCCCCATCTGAGCTGAGATGGAAAAATTTCTGGCTGTTGGTGGAGCAGTGTGCAGGAGAGGGTGTCTGGAATCCTCACTTTGAGAAAAAGTCAAAGGGGCAGGTGAATATAACTCCCATTAACAGCTATAATCTCTGCACTGAGCTGTGTGCAGTCTCAGCTCCCCACCCAATCTGCTCTCTTATGGAGGGGCTCACAGTTTGGACATTTGATCATCCTGGCCAGGAGGTGCCAGACCATGTCTTTGGCTGACTGCACTTCATGTCTTCTAACAGAATGCTGCACCTGCTGTCCAAGGAAGGACCTGGTTGGCTTTTAAATCACTTCACATACAATGAAGCTGATCCCTGGAAACCATCTAGGCAAGGAAACACTTTATGTGGGTATCTGTGAGAACAGGGAAGAATATAAAGCTACGTCTGGACTTGGGAAATGATGGAAAATGCTGTTATATGACAAAATCTGGGGAGGTGAGAGCCCTGCACGGGACCACCACTACTTCCACTCAAATGATAAAATTTTTTAGTCTAGTACATAAAATAAAAGCCTTTCTCAGGTTCTTGAATCTGTGAAACTTCCCAGTTCCCTACCACTTTTTCTACATATGTGTACAAATTTTCTGGAAGACATTTTTCATGGCGATGGGAAATGGTTGAGCAGCTTCTACTGCACCGTGGCTGCGATACCTGATGGAGAGCTGCCATCAGCCTCTTCAAGGCCTGCATCTGCCCATAGCACAGGTAGCTGTGGGTGTAGAGTGAGTAGTTGGTGCCGTACAGCCTGAAGAGGACAGACGTGTTTTTATCTTCAACGGTGACTCCAGGCTGGAAGGTTATTTGTGTTGAGGCTCCTCCAAGATCCAGAGCTCCCAGGACCTCAGTGTTTTGTGGATGTTCCCATTTTCCTGCGAAGGAAAACTGGCCCCATAAGGCAGTCAGTGTTAGTCTGTCCCTTCCCTAAAGGTTCTGTGATCTCAAAAGCCTCTGGGAGACCTTCCACATCCTATGTCCCTGTTTAACCCCTTGCTGCCCACATCCTCCTCAACCCACATAGATCTCTGTATAATGCTAAGGTTTGAGCCCTTGGCTGCTGCACATCAGCTTGGATCCAGGGAATTTGAGGAGGAAAAGTGTAATGTTCTGGACTCTGATACTGCTGTGACACCAAAATCAACCCATATATCAATGGAAAGCACAGGACCAGGATGAGCTGGACACAAAGATCCTCCTGCTCTCGACTCTCCTAATCACACCTGTAGAGTAAAAGGTGCAGTTCACAACAACATGCTACATTTGTTTGGATGGCCATCACTCTAAAAAGACATTTCACTCCCCTGTGGGAATAAAGAAATCTGGTCTTTACGCAGACAGGAAGACACACACACGATGCATCCCTCCAACTCCCCTGTGCCCCCTCCTCTGGCCCGGACCTTGATAAGTGTGTCCAGCAGGTAGTTGACAGTGATCCAGCCAAAGGAGCCCTCCTCGTTCCCGGTGAGGATCTGAGCTCCACGGAAGTCCACAGGGTACTCACGAATGGCCTTGGTGACCTCAGCAAAGACCTGCTCAGCCTTTGTGCTGTTCTGCTCCCTGCAGAAGCAGACAAATCCCATGTGGTGGAAGATGCAATTGCAGGGGAGCTTTCAGAGCAGGCTAACAGTAAAAGGCTGTGGCCTGCAAAGGAGTGGGACTACACAGTGACAGCATATACCCCATCTATCCATTGCTTTTAATCATAGAAAGAGATTATAAAAAAAGATGTTTTACTAGAACCTGTAGTGACAGGATAAGGGACAATGGTTTTAAACTGAAAGAGGAGAGATTTAGATTGGATAAAAGGAAATTTTTCACAATTAGGGTGGGGAGGCACTGTCAGGATGCCCAGAACTGTGGATGCCCCATCCCTTGGAAGTGTTCATGATCAGGGTGGATGAGTCCCTGGGCAGCCTGATCCAGTGAGAGGTATCTGTGCCTATGGCAGGGGGTTGGAAATGGATAGGCTTTAAGGTTCCTTCCAACCCAAGACATTCTATGAATTCAAGTCTAGCGAAGGAGGTTGTTCCTCCTCCAGGGTACTGCCAGGCAGGCACCAGTGTAGGCCATGGGGTTTCCCCATGGAGCAGTGAGCTGGCTATGTTGGCCAACCCCCAGCGGGCTGCAGAAATGGATGCTCAGCCATCTGATGATGATCTGATGATCTGCCCCCAATCCCAACCCCACACCCCTTCTAAGATGCTGAAATGTGGGGGGGCAGCAGTGCCCGTACCTCAGCAGCCTCATCCCCGCTGTGGCCCCCAGGTAGGTGGGTGTCTGCCACTGCTGCTCTGCAGGGATGACTGCCATGGCCTTGTCCAGGCAGGGCTTCAGACTGGCACCAGCTCCAGTGGGATCATCTGCATAGCTGGAGATGCCAGATCCTGTAACAGAGCACCTTGTGATGCCCAGGAGGAGAACAGGATAACAGGAGACACATCCACCCTGAAAGCCAGGAAGACCCCACAGGTTTTCCCCATGTACCAAGACCAATCATGCCCTTCCAAGGGCATCCCCAGAAGGGCATTGCTCAGAGCTGGCTTGCCTGGAGGTGGCACATGCATGCTGCAGGAGCAGACAGAGACTCCTGCTCTCCAAGGAGTGGGGAGCTGCTGTGATGCTGAGTGTGTGGTTAATCCCAGTTTCCCAGCAGTCAGTTGACAAATAGCATGGTTAGCATGGTTCCTTACTTCCCTGGCAAAGGGGGATTCTCTCATTTGTCCTTTGGAGAGGACGTGTGGAGCTGATACATGCACAGAGGTGCTCTCCATGCAGCTCAGCACAAACACGCTCTTATTTTTATAGGCTGGTGCTAGATCTGAGCTCCCAGCGTGGTCCTCCACTGGGTGGAGGCAGCGAATATCACTATTTACCTTTCCTCCAAGCTCTGCACTCCAGGTCCTCCACCAGCCCCAGTGCCCTTTCATTTACCCTTCGCCCTTCACCAGACCTTTGCTTTGGAGCACAGTTAACCAGTAACTGACACACTGTGGCTGCAGAGCCTTGATTTGCCATCAGGGCAGGCTCTACAATCTCCCACCCCTTGCCCAGGCACTCTGCCCTAGGTCAGTGGCCTTTGTCAGTCCCTTTTAACTGACTGCCCAGAACAGCCTCCAGCCTGGTGTCCCTAGGCTGAGCAGAGGGCGGGGAGAGGGACAGACACGTCCCAGCACTCTCACCATTCACAATGCAGGACTCCATCTGGGAGACGATGCCCGTGCCGTTCTCCTTGTCTGCAGGCCACTGGTAGACGTAGAGAGCCGTGTGCGTGGAGCCGGCGTCGAACACCAGGCCATACTGCAGAGAGAGGCCGACGGGATGCAGGGTTTCAGGAGGTGCAAAGCAGATTTAGCTGGCTGCAGAGCTCCAGGTGAGCAGGCAGAGCTGCCAGTGGGCAGGGAGTGGCCCCCGTGACCAAGCCAAGAGTGTCACCAGAGCAGGGAAAGCGTGACATCGCAGTCGCCAGCTGTACTGAGGCCAAGGCTCTTTGTGAGCTAGTGGGGAAGTTCCCTTGGTTCTCTGCAGTGAAAAGGCTGTATGTGCCGTAAGCAAGAAAACTGTGACAAACCCATTTGACGTGCCACCCTGCACGGCAGTTTGTCCCCATCTTGGTGAATAACAGCACAGCCTGCCTAAAGCTGGGGAAAATCTCAGAATAGAGGTTAGACAACACCCGAGTGAGAGAAGGTAGATGGGCTTCTGCCAAAGGCTTTACCTTAGTGCCAGGAGGCAGCAACACATCCTTCACATTTACAGCACTCAGTATGAGGGCAACGATGCTAAAGACACAGGTGGCTGCCAGGAGACCTGCAATGACCTTGGCTTTGTACTCCATTCCTCTTCCAACCTGCAAAAACACCCCAAGCCCAGCTTAGCGTTCCTGTATTTGCAAGGCCAGATTTGAAATGCAAATCTCATGGATGGGGTGGGACCTGTCAAGATGGACCTTCTCCCATGTCTGAAAAAAGGGCTTTAAACCATTCTTGGAATCACAGTCACAGAATTCCAGTATGGCTGAGGTTGGAAGAGACCGTTGGGTCCACCTGGTCCAACCCCTGCTAAAACAGGGACATCCAGAGCAGGGCCATGTCCTGGCAGGTTCCCACTGGGTTGATATCTTTGGAGTGCAGAGCTGCATCCCCCTGGCACCCACATTCTGCCATTATACCCTGCACTACCTCACACAATCCATCCCACACACTTGTGACCAGCAGGTCATATAGAATCACAGAATCATGGGACAGTACAGGTTGAAAGGACCTCAAGAGACAATCAAGTTCAGCTTCTCATGGCAAGCCTAAATGAGACTATCTAACCAATCCCATCTTGAAAACCTCCAGTAATGGGGAATTAAAACATCTGTTGTCCAACAGTATCAGACTATCCTTGGTCTTTCTCCAGGCAGGGGAACAGCATCTCCATCCATGTGTCTCCTGCCTGGTCCAGCTCTGCTCACCTGGTCAGAGCTCAGCTCCCAGCATCATCATCCCTGAGGCATCAGCAATAAATTGCAATGGAGAAGTGAAACCCAAGGGCCTGGTTCTCTACAGCCCCACAGCACAGAGCAGCTGACACGTCCTCATGCTCAGCACCCCATGTCTGCTCCAGATGTGCTTTTCTACACAAAGTTCTCCCTTCTGTTCCTGCATCACCCTGCTCTGTACTACCATCGTGTGACTGCAGGCAGTAAGCCTGACCTCATACAGCCCAACCTGCACAGCACTGGGCTGCAGCTGAGCAGCAGATGCCCTGAAAGCCCTGGAAACAGCCTAAAGAAATGATTCTAACCCAGCCACTGCCATGGGGTGCACTGTGGGGAGCTCACTGGGCTGCGCAGTTCTCCCAGGAACGCATAGAAAATACCCTTACCTTGTAGCCAGTCCAGGTCAGCAGTTTAATAGGAAAGGAAGACCTTTGGCAAAGTCACAAAAGACGGCGATTCCTGTTTCAGTTGATATCTCCAGTGATAAATGAGGGTGACCAGTGCCCTATAGGACATGCTATGTATAATGGATAACGTTCTTTTCTGTTCCACGTCATGGGACAAGGGACGTGGGACAGGAAACCTTTATCAGACCTTATCCTATGGCCAAGAGCCCTGCCCCATACGGTAATGAAGGGCAGAAGATATCATATGCAAGGTGATGAACTCTATTGTGCCATCTCCAGACCTATTAGCCCTGCTGGTTTGCACAGATGTAACCATGCAGCTGAGAAGTGCTTCCCTTGCTCCTGGTTTAACAGCAAAGGAAAAGGTCCCAATAGCAGCACACATCTTGGAAAATTCTGCCCCAGGCAGTGTGCGACGGTGATAAATTGCACCATGTCAAAACACCTTCACCTGCCCTCGGTAAGGCCAAATTTCTATCTTAGCAGCAGGCAACAATTGCAGGCAGCACTGAGTCTGCAGGGACAGGGGAGGAGAGTGGAGCATGGGGAAGGAGCAAGCAAGCAGAAAACAAAGAGGGAAGGGTGTGAGAAGCCGATGGATCTGCCCAGAATTTCTGTGGCACTTCAGGCTGTTTTGTGCTACTGTGTCTGGCACAGCACCCTTGTACAGCAGGTTTGGGGCACAAGCGGAAGGGATAGAAGGGTGGCCTTGACGATGCCTTCAGAGCTGCAGTCAAGCCATGCTGCTGTATGGCTCCACAAGGAGCAATGCCCAGATGTTTCAGTGTGCAGAAAGCTTGCAGCTGTGCATGCTGCTTGAGCTGCTCCTGCACCGGTTGGTATGTGACCAGACACAGCAAAGTGCTGACAGCTGCTGACAGCCCCTTGCAGAGTCTCTTGAGAGGAAGGAGGGGAGCCTCAAAGTTCAGACTCATGGGCACTGCTGGCCATAAACTATGTGCTGCTTGGGAAGATGTGTTGCTGTGCACATGTGGGATTTGGGGTCAAAAGGGCTCTTAATGTTACAAGGAAGGGGGGATATGCAAGCTAGGAGTCCCCTTGCCAGGCAGAGCAGCACCCAACCTCCCACCCTGCCACCAACACAAGGTCCAGCAGTGCCTTCCACATCCCCTGCATGCACTGAAGGCACCTGAGCCACGAACCACGGCACCCTCTCACCTGCCTCCCACCTCACCCCTGCATCAATCTCCCCACAGCCAAGCCTCGCCGAGGTTGCCCATTGCCATCCCCTGTCCATGCTCACCTGTGCTGCTGCCAGTGGGGCCAGCTGCTGCTCACCTCGGTGTCAGCGCGTACCTGGAGTGCGGGCACTGAGCCTGGGACAAAGGCTGCCCAGGAGTCCCCTGCACGGCCCTCCCCTTGGCCTCAAACCAGCAACCTCCCCTGCAAGCAGCAGGGCCGGGGCTGGAATAGAGCCTGTTTAACCACCTCGGTGCTGGTGGACAGGCTGTGCCCTGGGATCCTCACCCTTGGGGGCTGTTTGGAGGTGCCTGGCAGCACTCTCCTTGATGCTGACGGTATCCACGCCTCAAGGGAGCTGGTGAGTGCGTTGGCATCGGGACAAAGCCTGAGATCTGGGAGAGGAGCTGTAGTCCACAGATCTCCCAGTCCCACAGCTGCTGCAGGGCAAGGCATGGCCGAGCCTGTCACCTGCACCCCAGCTGCCACCCTCTGCTCTGCTATTCTGCTGCTGCAAGCAGGGCCAGGCTGGCAGAGCTGCCCAGGGCATGAATAGGAGAGACCTGGCAGGTGGGGACCCGTCCTCATGGAAACACATCCCCAATGCCAGGGAGCTGCCACCACAGCCAGGACCCCATCTGTCCCCAGGGGGCTCCATCCCACGGCTGGGGTCCCGCCCAGCCACACGGCTGTCCCCACAGATTTGGGCTGGCTCCCACAGCCAGCGTCCCTCTCTCCTCTCGGTGAGGTCCCCGTCCGTCCCCACAGACACAGTTCCGTTCCCGGACTGGAGGGTCCCTCTATCCCACGACGGGGGCTCTGCACCCACCCGCCCGGTCCCGCTATCCCCACTGCCGATCCGCGGCTCGCAGCGCCGCTCCGTCCCGCACGTCCGTCCTCTCAGGGCCGCGCTGAGCGCCCGCCCCGGGCCGGGCTGGGCGGTACCCGGACGTGGTAGCCGGGCCGGCTTTCTTTTTCGCTTTGCCCCGCGGGTTCCGCCTGAGGGGCCGCGCCGTGCCGGCCGTGCGGAGCTCCGACATGCGGCCCGAGCGCCCGGTGCTCGCGCTGCCGGTGTTGGCCGGGCTGTCCATGCTGGCGGCCGCCGCCCTCCTCTTATTGCTGAGCGCGTCCCGGGACCGTCCCGTAGACGGGAAAAAAGTAGGTGTCCGGGGCCGGGAAGACCGCCGGCCCTTCCCGGTGCGCGGCCGGGCAGCTCGCAGCCCGCAGTCCCGGTGCTGGGCAGACCCGCTCGGGCTCGGAAGGCGCTGCGGGACGGCCGGGCTCCGCGCCCCGCAACCATCGGCCTCTCTCTGCAGTACGGCCTGGTGTTCGACGCCGGCTCCACGCACACGGCTCTCTACATCTACCAGTGGCCCGCAGACAAGGAGAACGGCACGGGCATCGTCTCCCAGGTGGAGTCCTGCATTGTGAATGGTGAGAGCGGAGCGCTGGGAAGCGTCCCTCCTCCCCACGTCGCTGCCCCCGGCTCCTGCAGCGCAGTGGGGGATCTGAGCCCCTCAGCCTGGGCTGGGCCAAACGGAGGCGGCCCGGAAGAGCCCGATGGAGCTGGTGCAGAGGAGCGGCTGCGGTTTAAAGGTCCATGTAATGGTGGGGGCTGTGCTGCCCAGAGGTCGGTCAGAAGCTCAGCCCACAGTTAGCATCACGGCTCATGGACCCAGCCCTGTTGTGCAGCCCACTGCTGTGCATCGCCTTGCACCTTGGCTGTTAGATGTGCAAGGCTTGTAACCTCACCTCTGCAGCCGCTTCCTGGAACATCTCTTTACACTTCTTCCCACAGGGCCTGCTAGAAGCTTTGCAGAACTCACTAGATCTAAATATGTCTCTGCTGGCTATTTTTGCTTTCAGTTCCTATCTCCACTTTGAGTTAACAATTATCTTTTTCCATATATTTGCATAGCCCCAAGCACAGCATTTTGGGCTGTGATTGTGGCTTCTGGGTGTTGCTTAAGAGGATGAGAAACAACCCTTGACGTGAGAGTGGGAAGAGGTGTCCCCACTCTTCTGTTCCTCCTGGGCTGGCTCCATCACAAGGTGCTCTGTTGCAGGATCTGGCATTTCCAGCTATGCAGATAACCCCGCTGAGGCTGGAGCCAGCCTGAAGCCCTGCCTGGACAAGGCCATGACGATCATCCCTGCAGAGCAGCAGCAGGAGACACCCACCTACCTTGGAGCCACAGCGGGGATGCGGCTGCTGAGGTACGGGCACTGCCTGCATCCCTGCACCCCCACGGCCCTGCCCTGAGCCCTCAGAGACTGCTCTCCAAACACAGCTGCAGTGGGTCTGGGATGCTGGTGAGATTACATTGTGAGGTGAAGTGGCACTTTGCCATCCTGGCTGGTGTCTCTGATGCCTGATGTCGAGCCTTCTGGGATGGGGAATCACTGACTTTGTGGTTCCTTATCACATCTGCTGCCAGCACCGTGCTCCCTCCACCAGCATCTCCCTCCTTCTCTTGGCAGGGAGCAGAACATCACAAAAGCTAAGCAGGTCTTTGAGGAGGTCGCCAAGGCCATTTGTGAGTATCCTGTGGACTTCCGTGGAGCTCAGATCCTCTCTGGGAATGAGGAGGGTGCCTTTGGCTGGATCACCGTCAACTACCTGCTGGAGACACTCATCAAGGTGCGGGGTGGTGAGAGGGCAGACGAGCAGGAGGATCTCGCTGCACTGGGAGATCTTGCTGCATTAGAGCCTCTGCAGGCTACTGGGCATTGAGGCTGGGACCCCTTGGGAGTCAGTTACTGCTTCATGGTGAAACAGGGAAACCTGGAGGCCTATTAGCCCCTACAGTGTCTGGAGGAGTTCCAGAGGCTGTGGACTGTGGGTCCCTCCTCCCTGCTGCACCACAGTTCAGTCAGGGAAGCCAGTATCCCTGTGCTCACTCTGAATCAGGTCCATGCACCCTGTGAGTAATTCTCTGTGTGGGGCAGTACTCCTTCACAGGCAAATGGACCCACCCACCAGTGGAGAATGTTGTCGGAGCTCTGGACCTTGGTGGGGCTTCAACCCAGATCACGTTTCTCCCTGGGACCACAACAGATGACAAGAACACAAGTGCCCTCCTCAGACTGTATGGGACCAACTATTCAGTTTACACCCACAGCTACCTCTGCTACGGACAAAAGGAAGTCCTGAAGAGGCTCTTGGCATCTTTACACCAGGTAATTGCCTCCAGCCTTGTGCTCCTCTGCTGCAGCCAAAGCCGTGCTCTCACTGAGCTGGGCAGGCAACACACACTGGGTATCACAACCATGGGGCTTGGTGCTGTTGTGCAAGCACCACTGAGGGTGGATACCTCAACAGGGACCCACACAGGCATGTCCCAATACTAGGGCAGAGACATCCCTGTCCCAGTAGAAGGTCTGTGTCAGCACAGACTCACTCACAGAGGCTGGAAGGACCTGAGTTTCCTGGAGGAGAGAACATCCTGGGTGCCGGGAAGCTGGGAATAATGTAGGTTTAAGGAGAGGAATATGAATAGGCTGGTCTTCAGAGGCAGGTGCTGGGGAGTGGAGGAGGGTTCATTGCTGCTTGGGGGAGCCTTAATATCTGTAACACGGCTGTGGGTTGAGGGCTCAGTGCCTCGTGGTGGTTGGAGCAAGAATAGGCAAAAGGTGATGTCCATTGCATGTTAGCAGAAAGAAATCAGCCTCCACTTCATTTTTTGATAAAGTGGTTTCTCAGTTTTGGCTGCGCCCCTGGCTCTGATGACACTATGATGAAAGAGTGGGGACAAAATGTATGCATGCCCACCACAGAGGACTAACGCCCAGTGCCCTGGGCACACAGCTATTGCTGTAGCTGATTGCTTACTGCAGCATGGCACGGCCTGGCTGTCCCTACAGCGCTGTGCCTGCACCCCATAGTGTGGTGTTGTGCCGGTGCAGATGTCACCCCATGAGCAGTGGAGCCAGGGTGATGGCAGGGTGTCTGCATCCTGTGCCTGGTTGTTTGAACAGGCAGTGTGTGTGGGCTGCTTCTCACCTTTCCATCCTCAGCCCCAATGCCAGTGTGATGCCAACAGCTCCCTCTCTCTCAACAGGACAGCCGGTACGCCCAGCAGATATCACACCCCTGCTACCCCAAGGGATACCAGGAGAACATCACCGTAGCAGAGCTCTACGACAGTCCCTGCGTCCCCATTCCAAGCACGCTCAGCCCTGCACAGATCCTCACAGTAACAGGGACGGGGAACCCGGCGGCGTGCCGCACCGCCATCCTGAAGCTCTTCAACTTCACCTGTGGGGCCAACAGGACGTGTGGGTTCGACGGGGTCTATCAGCCACCTGTGAGGGGACAGTTCTTTGTAAGGAGCCTTGGCTGTTGGTGCTGGTGTGGGTGTGGGGCTGTGGGACACCAGTTTGGTCAATGCTCCAGAAAACCTGCTGTAGGAAAGAGTGACAATGGATGCCTTGAAAGCTGGGATGCACCTGATGCATGGAGACATGCAGGGTGCTCAGCTGTGTGCCAGACTCCGACTGCCATGTTCTGTATTTCAGCACAGGGTGCAGTCCCCAGTGCTCTCCTGAAGCTGGTCAGCAGGCAGCAGCCTATGTGGCCTGCCCTGGGGATCCCTGCAGAGCATCCCAAGTGAGGGGCAGAAGGCTGCCAGGAGCTTGGGTGCATCACTAACCTCTGCCTTTGGTCATAAATACCCACAGGCTTTTTCAGCATTTTATTACAACCTTCACTTCCTGAACCTGACTGAAGACCAGTCCCTGAGTTCCGTCAATGACACTCTATGGAAATTCTGCTCCAGAAATTGGATGACGGTGAGATCCTGCCCAGGAGCTTCTGATCCCTGCCATTATCTTGCTCAGTCTGGGCACCGCCTGGCTTGGGGTCCACAGCATGTCCTCTGCTGTGTGAAAGGGCCACTGGGGGAGCTGGAGGGAACACAAAGGTCTCTGGGCTGGGTGGGAGAGCAGCCAGCATCCTCCCATGTGCTCCTTGCTCCCCAGGTCTTTGCTCCTGACTGCACTTTCCCTGCAGTCTGGGTGCACCGAGCACTGCTCTGTACATGCATCCCCACCTTGCTCTTCCTCATCTACAGTTGCAGAAGGACTTTCCCACCAGGAGCAGGATCCACCTCCGTGACTCCTGTGCAGCCAGCTCCTACGTCCTCACCCTCCTGGTGCAAGGCTACAAATTCAACAACAAGACCTGGCTCAACATCCACTTCCGAAAGCAGGTGAGAAGGCCCCCTTAGCTTCACAGCTGCTTCACAAAGCTTGCACACTTGTGCCTGCCCTGCCCCTGTGCCTCGGGTGCAGGACGATGGGTTGGTACAGTCCACCACCCATGTCTGGGATTGCCTGGTACTTTGCAGCCCTTTACATCTCTCTTCCTTCTCTGTCTGCACAGGTCTCAAATGTGGACGTTGGCTGGACTCTGGGCTATATGCTCAATCTCACCAACATGATTCCCTCGGAGATGCCCCAGAGAGTTGTGTGGCTCCCAAAAAGCAAATGGACAGCAGCCACAGTCATACTGGCCGTCCTATTCGTTCTCATCTTCTGCCTGATGGCGGCCGTATGCTGCTGGAAGGACTCCTCTGGCTATGAGAGCCTCTAGCAGTGCTGGCTTCAGAGCCTTCTGCAGCCTCCTGGTGCTGCTGGTGCAAAACTAATTGTGAGGAGCTGCCGCTGGGGGAATCAACGCTGTGTCCTGGAGCTGCAAACTTGTAATGTTGGGAACCTGGCCTGGTGAGCTAGGAGCAGCACAAGTTTTGTAAAAACCTCCCTGTAACTGTGTGCTGTGTGGTTTTCTTTTGCCCTCACTGCTGGTTGGAGAGGGGGCATGGCTGTGTGGGGCAGGGCTTGGCACTGGTGACATGGGGACACCAGTGACATGGGGCAGCTAGAGATGGGGGGCCCAAAGGGCAGGAAAGAGAGAAGATGTGTTTGGCAGCAACTGTATCATTGCAGGGCTGGTTACTGCCTATGGGAGATAACCACATGGGGCAGAGATAACCCTGATAACCCTGCCTCACTGCAGGGCAGGGGCCCACACAGCCCACTGCCGGTGCTGGGCAGAGGGACAGTAGCTGGGCTGCTTTCTGCTGCGTGATCCCAGCATGTCCTGATGCTGGGGCTGTTCCTCCCCAGGGACAGGACTTGGTTCTGCTCCATGTTGAGCTCCATGAGGCTGCTGTCATCCTTGGGGTTGCTCCCACCTGTCACAGTCCCTCTGGAAGGCTGCATGACCCTCCGGTGCATCAGCCACGCTACACGGTTTTGTATCCTCTGCAAACTTGCTGAGGGAACACTCTTCCCCATCATTCAGATCGTTAATGGAGATGTTAAAAAGAACTGGGCTGGGTGCTGACCCCTGGGATAGATGTCTGGTTCCAATCAGCTTTAGTGCCACTGCCACTGTTTCTGGGTTTGGCCCATCAATCCATTTCACTGCCCATCCAGCCCTTATGTCAGCAGCTTCTCTATGAGGATATTCTAGAGGATGGTGTCAAGGCCCCACTGAAGTCAGGGTAGAAAATAGATGTCAGCAGCCCCCCTGCTTTCCTGCACAAGGTCAATCTCCTGTTGGCTGTGCCCCATGTCTGTGCCAGGCACACATCTCACCATTCCTTTCAGCACACAGGAGTTTGGCAGACCCCTCTTGGAAGCAAAGGGCCTTGTCCTCATTCCCCACCAAAGTTTGGTGGGTGATCTCCAGCACTGAACAATGCTGAGGAGGAGCCTCGTATTGCTTCCAGCGGCTGAGGCAGAAGTCCTGTCCCCTTTCTCCTGTGTCCCCATTGCCATTACCAGCCCTTACCTCTGAGGCGGAAGCAATAAAATCTTATCGGCTCAGGAGCAAAATAACAAGCATTTCCATCTTCACTGCCTTTTCCAGTGTTTACTTCTGGATAACAAGAGTGGCTGGGTGCCTGCCTTTCTGCAACAACTGCAAAGGTCAGTTCTGTGCTGCTGGGAGGCAGACTTGCTCCCAGCAAATAACAAAGTGAATCATGCGTGGGGCAAATAAGGAGTGAGCAGAACCAAAGGCAAAGGTAAGGGCACAGCCATAGGGAAGATCCAGCTCAGCACTATGCACGGGTCAGGGCAAGATCTGCATTTGCAGCCTGGCATCCACAGTCTGGTGTCCAGGAAGGCACTGCGGAATAATGATCCCTCTATCCTGTAAGAAAAGAGATGTTGAGACGGGATGAGATGATGAGATGCGCTCTGCAGGGACATGGACTGTGGATATTCAATTTGCATTTCAACTCCTAGGCCAACAGCTGAGCCCAGGCAGTAGGTTCATAAGGAAAGCCAGCTGGGGCATCACAGAATCATCTGTGCACTCAGACTGGCACAGCTGGCAGGAAACTTCCTTGCTGACCGTGGTCAGACCCAGCACTGGAGGAAGCACCTCGCACCCATCTGCCAGCACCCATGATGGTCTGCCACTCAGGCCCTGCACAGCCAGGTGGGCTCTCCAAGCTCCAGCCAGAGGGGTGGAGGACAAATCTCTTACAGGATTAATGGTGTGAGGAGGTGGATTGGCCTGGCTGTGGTGTGTAGGCTGATCCCTCGAGGGGATCCTCAGGAATCCTCCCGTGATGCCTGTCTGCATGTCTGGGGACAGTTCTATGAGCCAACCCTTGGTTCTTCAGTGTGGTAGAGGTTACCATTCCTACGTCCACAAAAGCACAAGCAGCGCAACGAGCCCCAAGGCCAAGGCGAGGGTGATGAAGGCGACAGCTGCAGCCCACAAGGAGGGTGTGTGCCCCTTCACCCACACTGGAGCCTCTGCAGGGATCATGTTGGTGAGGTTCAGCATGTAGCCCAGTGTCCAGCCCACGCTGGTGCTTCCCACCTGCCCGAGGAGAAGAGATGCTGAGTTAGCCCAGTGCTGCACGTTCCCACCTGCTGGCCAAGTTCCCTGCTGACCTTTATCTGGAAGAAGATGTTGTTCCAGCTGACCTCGTCGAACTTGTAGGCATCAAGGAGGAGTGTGAGGATGTAATTGGCGTTGGCGCAGTATTTAGGTAGTCGCTCAGGATTCTCTTCAGGGTAATTAGAAGACAGCTGGGAGGAGCATGTTAGAGGAAGAAACAAAGTTATTTGTAGGCAATTTCCAGGTTGGTAAGCAGACACTAGTAGGGGTCCACAGGGCTCCATTTTAGGACCAGTTGTCTTTAATGTTATGATTAATGACCTGGATGCAGGGCATGGCACAGCTCCCAGGGCAGCAGACACGGCCCTAGGTGCTCAGGGGGCACAGGGACACTGCTCTCAGCGGTAGGGTTGGGGTGTGAGTGGTGCTTTGTGGGGCCGGGTTGGGCTCGGTGATCCCTGCAGGTCTTGTCTAGCTCTAGTTTCTATAAATTGTGGTGTTTTGGACCAGTCCACATAGGACACCTCCTCTCAGGAAAATCTAATTCCCACGTGAAATAGACATTGGATGGAGGTCCTCTCACTCCACATTCTCCTATCTCAGCCTTATTGTGCAAGGGGCTCCTGCTCTCTGTCCCATGGTGGTGCTACCACATCTCTTGGCCTTATTTGCCCCTTTGGACTCTTCCTCAAAGCGGTGTCAGCCACAACCCTCTCCCAGGGCTCCATCCTCACCTCCGTCGCAGCTCCTGTGATGATTTGACCAACCCCTTTCCCCATGTTGTATGAGCCCCTGAGGGTGGCTGCAGGATTGTCCTGGCTCCTTCCTTGAGCTCTGGGATGGCTACATAGGACACAGCTTAGCAACCTGGCAGAGTCACTGCTCCTCTTCCCCCACCCATTTGCTTTTGAAACTTCCTCATAGCTTCCCATAACAAGAAACATACGTCCTCCCAGGTTCTTGCACAGAAATGCTCAATGGTCTCCCTGACGGTGGCCAGTGACTGTCCCTCAGTCAGGTTGAGAAACTTGAAGTTGTAGTAAAAAGCAGAAAAGGCCTGAAAAGCAAGAGGTAGAAATACCAGTGAGTTACAGTGAGGGATGCTGTTCTCCCTCCAAGCAACAGAGCCTGCTTGCATAAATGGCTTTCACTGGGACTGTCCCAGCCTTGCCCAACCCCAAGCATCAGTATCCCTGTCCCAGAAGAGATGGTGGCTGGGGGTCTCACTAAGCATCTGTTTTATTGGAAGGGTCCCATTTTGAGAGCTGCCTGGAACCCCTGGTGCGCCGTGGGGCACTGGCAGTGTGGGTGCTGCTTGCCCCGCTCTGTTGCGGGGAGGTGACATTGGCACGGGGCTCAGTGGGACACTGCAGCACTGGGGGGACACACAGCTGGGGGGAGGAGGACGGGGTTTGCCTTACAATGAACTGCCCGCTGACAGGGGGCTGGTAGATGCCATTGAAAGAGCAGTCCTGGCTCTGCCCACATGCCGAGAAGTTGAAGAGCTTCTTGACAGCAGCCAAACACCCGCTGGCATTGCTCCTGCCTTCCAGGGTCACGTTTCTGTCATCAAGAGGCAGGTGTGGGTCACTCTGGTTGGTGCAGGGGCTGGTGCGGAAGGAAGACAGCGAGATGGTTTCCTTGTAGTCTTTGGGGTAGCAAGGGTGTTCAACTAGCGTGCTGGAGGGCGACTCCTGAGAACAGCAAAATCCAATGATTTGCAGGCTGCAGCTTCCTCCAGACCTCTTGCTGGGTATGCTGGGTGGCTTCCTCCCAGGACATAGGTGTGCAGGCATCTCCCACCTCTTCAGCAGGGAATGACCTTCACACTTCAATTCTGACCTTGTCTGTCCACAGTTCCACCCAGAGCTTAGCTCTGGTTCTCCCCACATCTTGTCCAGTCCCAAGTGCTACTCCTTTCCACTGAAGCAGTCAAATGCTGCAGCCCCAGCAGGGTCTTCTGGGACGTACAGAACCCTTTCCATCCCAGCTCTTACCTGTCTCCAGTTCTAGCCCCAGCCAGGGACACCAGGAGACCTTCCTGGATGTGCAGCAAGAGCAAATGCTTCTGCTCTCAGGCTGCTCCTCCATGAAGATCTTCTTTCCCTCTGACCTTCCAGAAATGCCCTGAAAAATGTATCTGTTCTCTTTCCTCATGTTCATACAGACATAAAGCAATTGGGGAGCAGCTATCAGAGACCGTACCAATCCCCTCCTTAAAGCATCACTGACAAGGTTGGGTTGCTCAGAGCCTTGTCCCATCAAGTTTAGGATGGAGACTACATAGCATTTCTGGGCCTAATCCAATATTTGTCCACCTTTATTGGGAAGGAAGTTTTCCCTGCACCTGGTCCCATGCTCCTGCTTGTGGAAATGGCACTTTGCTTCTCCAAGAAGAGTCCGATCCTGACATTTCTGCACCCTTCTGTGAGACAGATGCACAAATCCAGACAAACCCTCCCAAGTCTTCCCTTCTGATGCCATGCTCTTCCCCACACCTGCCTACCCAAACCCAGGGAGCCTTTGCCAGTTCTCAGTCTCTCCTGATGCCTCTCTGAATGAGCATTATCTGTTCATATTTTTACTATATTAACAAGAGGGTGCGTGGTTATCACAAGAATAGAATCTAATTCTCCCCCACCCACCCCAGTTCTCCTCTCACCACAATTAACTCTTTTGCCAGGCGCTTCCACATCTCGTTCTGCCCATAGCAGGTGTAGCTGTGAGTGTAGATGTTGTAGTTGTAACCATACAGCGTGAACCTGGAGGTTTCGTTCCAGTTTATAAATGAACCTTTGGGGACAAAGCTGATCTGAGTTGATGCTCCTCCAAGATCCAGTGCCCCAAAACTGTCGTCTGCCTCTGGATGGACCCACATGTGTGCTTTTGGGGAGTACTGTCAAGACAAAGCAGGAGAGGAAGAGGAGTATGGGACTACTGGAATTACTTGCCCTCAGCAAAATTTCACCCCATGTAAGTCAATGGAGGGTTGTTATTAAATTAGGTGGATTAAGGATCTTAGGCTGGCTCTTCATGTACATGAGGTCCCGTTGTCCCACTGGGAGCAAGGGAACAGGGTGTTTGGCTCCAGCTTCCTTCAGTGTGACAAATGGAACCCAAACTGAGGCCTCCCAGCACCACGTGGACGTGGACGTGGACTTTCCCTAGGCAGTGAGGCAAAGCCAGCAGGAGCAAACAGACTGTCCTCATTGGGCTGCATGGCTCCTAAAGGATTCCCATGTTCCCACGTGGTGCAAAGATGTGCCCCCATTTTTCTGCAGGAACACCCCCATTCCTGATTTTTCCCGTCTTTCACTGTAAACAAGTCAGAGGAGCACTGGCTGCTTCCCTCAGATCACTGCTAGTGACCCTTCCTTCTGTGCTGGCAAAGAAACAAGTGCTTCTCCCCTCCCACCTTGGTGAAGGACTCCAGCAGGTAGTTGATGGTGATCCAACCGTAAGCTCCCTCCTCTTCTCCTGTAATGATCTGAGCCCCACAGAAAGCCACAGGATACTCTTGTATGGTTTTAGCAACTTCGGCCAGGACTTGGTCTGCAGCTGAGCTGTTCTGTTCCCTAAGGATTCAAAGGATGGGACCCAGGATGAGACATCACAGTTTCTCTGGGCATCCTCCAGTGCCTCACAGCCCTCATACTGAAGAATTTGTGCCTTATATCTAACTTAAACCGACCTATTTAAAGCCATCACTACACTTTATGACAGAGTCCCTCGCCATCTTTTCTGCATCCTGACCAGCTTCCTCTCGGTGGCAGCCCTTCTCTCCGGAATGTGACTGCACCACTCAGCTTGGTGTCACCCTCAAATGTGCTGAGGGTCACAGGTGACCACTCACATATGACTGGCTGCTGAGCTCGGGAGGTTCTGCCAGGACAGGGCCAGAATGGCTTCAGACCTCTGAGTGGGGCAGAGTGTGTGGGTCTGTGGGCTGTGCTCAGTCTCTGAAGCAAGTAACCCTCAGGGTATGACCCAGCTCCTCCACAGAGAAGGGATCACATTAACAAGGCACTGAAATAATGTTAGAAATGTGTAACCATAAAACCAAGAGCCATGAAATGAAAGCTGACATTTGAAGAGAGTTAATACTAGATGGGGAAAGGCCAGGTCCCACAGCACCCCTTTGCCTCCTGCCTCTGCCCTGCCCTCCCACCATCACATCTTGGCAGACACAGGACCCTTCTGGGCTGTAGGGTCCCAGGCAGCCTCCCTGACCCCAGAGCAGCTCAGCCACCCGGGGGCCAGCTTTGTCTTCTGCCTAGGGTTGGCTCAGGGCAGCAGGAGAGCTGAGAGCACTTGGCAGCCCAGCCCCATACAGGATGCAGTGCCCCGCCAGCCCCACACCCCACAGCAGTACCTCAGTAGTCTCATGCCTGCTGTTGCTCCAAAGTAAACTGAGACATCCCTCTGCTTTGCAGCAGGAACAACTTTCAGGGCTTCTTCCAGGCACTCTCTTAAGGAATCACCAGCTTTCGGGGGATCATTGGCATAGCTTGTTATGCCTGGCCCTGGAAGAGAATCAGGCTGGGACAGGCTAATGAGGAACAGACAAAGGTTGGGAAGACACAGGGCAGTGAGATCTGTCACCTCTTAGCAAGAATGGGCTCTTTATCAGGGTCCCCCCGTCCTGCAGGACCTGGCTCACAGATCTCCCCCTCTGCAGGCTGGTCCACTGTACCTACAGTCCTAGCTGAGCCCTGTGCAGGTGTGTAACACTCGTCCACGTTTCATCACTGCAATTAGACAGGTTTGGGCTCTCTGCACCCACCCATCAAGAGGCAGGCTATTCTTCCTAGTCCCTTTTCTCCCCATTAAGAAGTCCCTTGTGCAGTGTCAGTGCCATACCATGATGGTGAGGCTTTGCCCATGCTTGCATCCTCTTTAGATGCCAGAACAGGAGCACAGAGAGCACAGAGGCAAAGCAGAGCCCAAGAAGTTGAAAGCAGAAGCAGTGGGACCTGCCACCTCCAAACACTAAGTGAACCAAAGCATCAGCCAGAAAGGGCAAGAGCTATCTGAGGGTCCCCACCACAACCCCCTAGATGCACTGTTTCAGGATGAGACCTTCCCCCTCAGGACAACTTGTGCAGTACAAAGTGGAGGATGAAATTCAGAGGAAGGCCAAGACATTTCAACCCCACCAAATGTTTGGTCTTGTGCAGCATGGGCAGGCCAAGGAGAGGGAGGCCAGGTCAACCCACCCACCACACAAGCCCTTGCCCAGGGAATACTGACCCTGGATGTCACAGGAAAAGGTCTGGCTGACCACACCGGTGTTGTTCTGCTTGTCCGAGTCCCACTCGTAGACAAACAGAGAGGTGTGGGATGAGCCTGCATCAAACACCATCCCGTACTGGAAGGAACAACCAAGACATCACGCTGGCGGGAGGAGCAGCCTGGCCACGGCCTTGCCAGGTTCATCAGCCCAGGGCGTGCCTCAAAAGCAGCTCTGTGAGGTAGGGCTGTGTGCACCAGGCAGAGCGCAGCGATAATAGGACACATCCCATCCACACACAGCCTCAGCACAGGCACTTATCACAGCAGCTGAGAGACTTTTAGCTCCTTCTGCTCAGGGCCGTTCAATAATGCCAGCTCACTCAAGCATTTGCTTGGTGGTTTCCTCATGCTTTCTTATTTTCTTTATTGGTTGAATACCTCTCGTGTCTGCTCCAGCCCCACCCCTGGGCCAGCAGCTCCCCATCTCAGCACTCCCTGCTCCCCAGCCTGGCAGAGCCCCACGCAGCCCATGAGCAGCCAGCTGCACCACCAGCCCCCTAAAACCCCCCACCTCCACTCAATGTGGGAACTCAGCCCCCGCTGCACCTGGCAACCAGGTGGGGTGCCAGGCTGCACAGGAGGAGCTGCAGTGTGGTGCTGCTGTGAGAGCAGCCGGGATGGAGCCCGGGGAGCTGCAGGGACAAAGGCCACGTGGAGGTGCGTCGTGCTGCAGCGCAGAGGGAGCGGGCAGAACTCTGCCCTACCTACGTGTGCGTGTGCAGTGGGTTTCAGAGAAGGCTTTTCTCTGCTGCTCAGGTTGTATTAACCAGGAATGGAAGTGAAACACCCACCTGCAACATGGCAGGTCCCAGCAACTCTGTCAGCCCCAACCCCAAAGACAAGCCATTGGTTCTCACCTGCCCAGTGCTGCTCTGGGACCCTTTTTTGGCTCACCTGGACTGTGGGTGGCAGAGTGACATCTTCAACCCTCACCAGGCTGAGGACGAGGGCGATGATGGACAGTGTGACCAGCAGCCCGAGGAGGGCAGTGGTGAAGAGCTTCTTGTTAATGAACATCACAGGAAGGCACCTGCAAACCCAAACAGAGGTACAAGGGGGGTGGGTGGGCACGGCTGGCTGGCAGGAGCTGCAAAGAGAGCATCCTCAAAAGCTCTCCCCAGACTGATGCTATCACAGGCACAAAGGTCCTCAGTGGATAATATAATTTTTTCTGAGAGCAGCAGTATCAGGATAAAAGTGTGGGGGTGTAGATAGAGGGACAGGTCCCCAGCAGCCTGGCACAACCGTGGTAGGGACAAGTGGTCCTCTATTCCCCGCAGCCCCTCCTGCTCAGCTCATGGCTATGGGAAGGGATCAGGTCTGGCAGAAGTACAAAAACACTGTGCCAAACAGAGAGGGACATGGGAAATCACAACAAAACTCACTGAGAGGTATTGCAGAAAGGGGCAGTGATGCCATTGCACAATCTGTGTGTTCAGCTCACCTGTGGCTCTGGAGCTGCTGTGTGTCCTCACCACGGCTCAGGGCTCCTCCGCTGCCCAGCTGGGGCTCTGTTTATGTCCTTTGGAAGTGGACACTGCTTGAAGGTCGTCTCCCCATTATTTTACCTCAAACTTCATCAGAAAATTAGAGAAAACTCTTGATTGATTAACGTGTATTTATGACTCGGCTCCTGCATTTTTCTGACACCTTACCCTTGCCCAGTAGGTTCCTCCTCCTCATTTGAATGGAATCATGCATGAGAGTCCTGCAGCAGCTGGGTCACACCTTGGCTTTGATCATGGTTAACTCTTACTCCTCCACTCTCCTCTCATGCATACACTTCTGTTCTCTCTTCCCTCTCACCAGTCCTAACACTTCCATTTTGAGCTTCAGCAGGGCTAAGAGGTGAGAGAGATGTTTCCAGTCTGCCCTGGATCACACACAGAGCGAAGGCAACTCGACCGGAGGTTTTACTGTGATGGAACAGGAGGGTGGTCCTGATGGGGGTCTCAGCATTGTTCCCTGATCTTTGCTGGGGGGTGCAGGGTAGGACATCAGCATGGCCCAGCTGGGGCAGCCAGCCATTCCCTGTGTATGACCCAGCTGTCACGGGGCTGGTTGCGGTGGAAAGATGTACTTTCTGGCTGCCTTATCTCAGCTGAGTCAAACACAGAGGTGCTGGCAGGGAGGAGCTCTTGTTGCACTGTCTGACCTTCCTGGAGCACTCTGCCCTATGGCTGTGTGCTCCAGCTTAACCCCCTGTGAAATCAGGGGCTCAGCCACCCCTGAACTCTCTGTCTGCAGCACAGACTGCCCAGCCTGTCACCATGGTGTCCCTCACATTGCCACGTGCTGCTGAGGGACACCTGGAGCCCAGACTGTGGCACCACTCCACTCCCATCTCCACCCATCACACAACCTTCGGACCCAAGTTGGTTGCTTCACTGGATGAGAATGGATGAGTGTCCTCTCCCTCCCTGGGTCTGAAGATTTCCTGCTGTCTGTGCAGCAGCCAGGACGGGGCTTTCTGAGAAGCGGGGCCCCATCTCCAGGCAGGATCGGGGACACTGACCAGCTGAGATCCCTCACACATCCACCTTTCCCCTTGGAGGAAATATGGATGAGTCTTGCGAGGAACTGTGGAGGAGTGAAGGCAGGAGAACCAGTTCCCCTGCACTGTCCCTGAGCAAACAGCCTGCCTGGTGCCGGGGGCTGGCAGGGCTGGGGCAGGGCTGCAGTGGGCACACGGCTCTGGGCAGGTACAGGGCAGGGCAGAAGCTTTGCTGGGAGTGGGAACGCTGTCTTTAAACAGCTCAGTTAGAAAATCTTGAGGCAAGTCACAGGGAAGGGCTTAGTGATCTTGTTGACACAACTCTCCTCGCAGATACATCTGGAACAGGAGAGAGTGGGGTGCGGGGGTGAACTGGAGGCCACGTGCAGTAGATCCCTTCCCAAACCTGCATCATGTCCTTAGCATGCAGCTTTGCTTCCTTTCTTAGTGCCTCCTTTCTTAGTAGGCTTGCTTCCACCCTGGATAATCAAATCAGATAATTACCTCTAGGTTGAGCACCAGCCCCATCTCTTCTCAGGAGGCACAAGGCTGGTTCCCCCAACATCTGCCCATGTGCACTTTCTCATGGGTGTCACTGTCCCAGCTGGGCTCTGGGAGGTGATAACAGCCCTGACTCCATGCCAGAGAGTGATGCCACTTGAGGGAGTGGTCTATAAAAGCATGGGCAGGGGCTGCACACTTAGTCGTGGGTGCTGAGTCCTGGTTCTGGTGAGCCCCGGCCCTGTTTGCCGTCAGGGATGTGCTGTGATGGAGCGGAAAGTGGTGTTTGCTCATAACTTCAAAAGTGACCCAACAGCCCCATTCTTCCAACTGTAGACTGACAAATCTGCTTTTAGCAGGAGGCACGGCCAGAGTACATGCACACACCTATTTGATCTGCTCTTGAGGGCCATGTCTTTGTCCCCAGGCTTTCACGTGACTCTGAGACCCAGAAGGAAGTCACGGATCAGCAGGAGGCTCTGTGCAGCCCAGCACCTGCCCACAGCTGCTACGTGTGTGCAGGCAGTGCCAGTGCCTGGTGCCCTTATTCCAGCAGGACTGCTGGAGCTGGAGACATTCAGAGCTGCCCAAGGGATGTGCGCCCCCATACTCCTACAGTTCTTGGAGGGTAAATAGCACGTCAGACCTTTCCTCCCTGTGCTCTTTCCACACATGCCCTGATGGCTCTGACTGCACAGCCCCACGCATAGCCCACAGACCGGCTCACAATCAAAGTCCTGTTCTCTGGGCTTCCCTCCCACTGGCCACTACTTTTTCCACAACCCAAGCCCTGAATTAGCCAAAGCCGAACAAGAGCATCCTAACATCGAGATCTCCTTGCAGAGCTGCTCTGTGCAATCAGCAGGGCCATAGGGAAGAGATAGAAGATGGAACAGTGACGTGGTGGAGGTTTCCCTCTGCAAGGCTGGAGGCTGCAGGAGATCAGGAAGCCCCTGTGCTCTGGGAGGTGCCTGTAAGTACTGCTGTAAGGCTGTGTGCTCCAACTCCTGGCAGCCGAGCTTATTCTCACACAAACTACTGAAGACCATCGCGCAGGCTCCTTGGGACCACTTCTCTGATACAAAATGCAGTTGCAAAATCCAACAAAGATGAGGCTGCAGACTCTCTTATCTCTAAAGGGACTGTCACCCATAAGAAAAGATGCCAGCTTATGTTCACATGGTTTCTTGACAAACTGAGATGAAGCACTGCTTATTTTTTCATTTTCTAGGTGTTCTCTGATCACTTTGTGCCAGTGCTCCCAGCAGTTTGGAGCTGAGCCACCAGGGCTGCAATTTGCTGTCATCTACACAGAGGTAAGACACGTCCTCTGAACAGGAGCTTATTGAACACAAAACAAAGCTTAATTATGGGAATACAGGATGAGCTGGGAAGCCCATCAGCACATCATAGAATTCCCACTCCTGACACCCATGTGTTGTCTCTACCTCCTGCACACACAGTAAACCAGTGAGCTCCTTTCTGATCTTGGTGTCTCACTCTCTGTAGCCCTCTGAAAGAGTGTCCACATCCCTGGTTTCCTTCCATGCGTGTCTTGCCCACAGTCCCCCACCACTTTGCAGCAAAGAGGCCGGCACAGTGAGTGGGATGAAAGGGGTGTGGGTGCTGTGGAGGTGGGGAGCACCAAGGAGTGACATTGCCCTCTATGCTGGTGATAAGCATCCAAGGACCGGATGGGTCTGCCCTACAGACAGCATCTGGGATGCGCAGCGAGTCTGGCAGGGGCAGTGAGAGGGGGAAGCACACCAGTGAAGGGCTTCTTTTTGAGCAACAGATGGTTCTTACTTAAGCTGTATTTCCCTTGCACGTGTGGAAATGAATGGCTGAAAGAAAGAAATCATCCAGGCTTGCTGCCAGGGTTACTAATCCTCTGCACTGAACATTGCAAAAAGCTGGTGAGTTTCAAGCACAGAGAGCAGCTGATGGAGATGAGTCAGTAAAGGCTCTGCCCCACTCACAAACCTCAGTCTCTAGGGTTTGAAGAGATGAGGCAGCCTAGCCACGAGCCCCGGGTGGCAGTGCACACCGCAATGTGCAGCATGGCTTGGCACCACAGCTGCAGCGCAGCTGGGAGGCAGATGTCAGAAGTGTGCTTAGTGGAGATGAAGTGGAGATATTTGAGATGATTGTGTCCAGCCTCAAAGCCCAACTAAAATTTGGCCTTTTCTTACCTTTCCCTCAGCAAACCCAGCAGTCAGTGGCTGCTCTCAGTTAGGGCTCGCAAGACTTGGGTTTACTTGAGGGCAGCTCCAGACATCTACGCATGACAGAATGGCTCTGGAAAACACAGCCCATATCCAGGGGCTGGGGCTCCCACCATGGCAGTAGCACCAATGGTGCCATCTGGTCCAGGTTCTCTACATCTCCCACATCATTTTCCTCAGACAGCCCATGTGTGCTTGCTCACATGGCACATCTGCTCCCACCAACTTGGGGCAAAGCAGGATGCTGTCCAAACCACAGCCCAAGCATCCTTCCAGAGGCACATCTCCCAGCTCCTGACTCCCAGCACACTGCCATGTGAAAGCCACAGCCATGTTGAGAAGGCTCCCAGGTGTTCCCATATCAAAATGCAGTTGGATGCTGCTGGGACCAAGTCATCACAGCTGTCTGCTTTGGGATCCCTCATGTCCCTGTGGTATCTCAGGTCATACTGGACACTTGTTCCTCCCATATATGAAGCCTGGTCAGGGTGTCCTGGCCTGGGCTATGCTCTGAAGGAATGATACAGACAGGGCAAAACCAGACTGATCTCCCTCCAGCATGGTCACCACCACACAAAGCTGTCTGTCCAAGAGCTGCTCCTGTTGCAGAGGGAGTGCTGGGACACAGAGAGGGGTGACAACCAGCTCTGGGGCCGTCCCTGCCACAGGCTCAACCCCAGCACGGGGGGATGCTCCCAGGAGCATTCACAGCTCATATCACCCCAACCGCATTGGTTCAGTGAGAAGTTTTGCTGCAGGACTTGTGTCCCTGAGCATGAAGCGATTCCCAGGAAGCAGCCTGGCTGCTCCAGGTGCCAGAACACCACAACCTCCCCACTGTGTATGGAGTCCTCACGCCCTCCCTGAGGGCAGCACCCACATTTCCATGCCACCCCTGTGTCCCCAAACGCACCTGAGAGCTTGCCTGGCCTTGGAGAACAGAGCTGGGGGTGCACGAAATGCAGGATGAGCCGCATGAAGGTGGATGTGGCATCATCCCGTGTCACACCCCACAGCCTGGTGACACAGTCAGGTTGGGTCTGATGGGGCTGGGCAAGCCCCACCACTGCTCAGTGCCAGGAGCTGCCCCGTGTCACAGCGAGGCTGTGGGATACCATCATCTCTCTGATCTTCTCGTGGTGTGCCCCTTTCCTGTGTTAATTAGCTGGGTGGGTGGGGAGCACCGGCAGCCCAAAGGCATCCATCCATCCCCAAAGGACTCAGTGAGCGTCCTCTCCTGACTCAGAGATTCCTCCTGCTTCCCACTCCTCTCCATCCCCATGTCCCACCATGTCCTTCCTCCTCTGTGTCCTTCACACACTTCAGCAGACCCTGGCAGTGCCACCACTCACGCCAGCCCTGTCCCACCCTCACCATACCACCCCCAGTCCTCACCCCAGCCCCATGTGAAGAAGTCAGTGAGGTGACACAGTGCCTGTGGACCATG